AAACTGATCCTCCCAAAAAGGAGCTCCATAAATATCTCGATGTGTTCTCAAAACAGGCTGCAGACAAGCTCCCGCCTCACAGATATGCAGACCATCACATTGTGTTAGAAGGGAACTCAAAACTAGGGCATGCACCACTCTATAACATGTCTCGAGAAGAGCTTGATCTTGTGAAGAAATACATGGAGGACAATCTTACCAAAGGATTCATCAAAGCTAGCAAAGCACCATTTGCCTCACCTGTGTTATTTGTATGCAAACCAGGAGGTGGACTTCAATTTTGCGTAGACTATCGCAAACTAAATGTGATCACAAGGAAAGACTCATACCCACTTCCCCTCATTGATGAAACATTGGCTCAAATCACGGGTGCCAAATATCTTACAAAGATTGATATTAGACATGCCTTTAATCAAATTCACATGACAACATTCAAAACTCGATTTGGATCATACAAATACAAAGTTCTCCCATTTGGACTTACGAATGGCCCAGCAACATTCCAACAATATATGAATGAAACATTAGTGGAATACATAAACAAATCCGTCACTGCATACATGGACGATCTTCTTGTCTATAGCACAAGTAAGGAGGAACATGTTAAGCATGTCAAAATGGTTCTACAAAAGCTTCAAGAAGCAGGACTACAAGCAGATATAGCAAAATGCAAATTCTTCGTTCAAGAGACAAAATTCTTAGGACTCATCATTGGAGTTAATGGAATTCGCATGGATCCTGGAAAGGTGAACACTATACTCGATTGGAAAGCACCAAAATCATTACAGGACACGCAAGCTTTTATCAGATTCTGTGTGTTCTATTGAAGGTTTATCAAGAACTATTCAAACATCATGAAACCACTCGTCAACTTAACGAAAAAAAGACCATGTCAGGAAGCATTCACACTTCTGAAAAAGACTGTCACAGAAGCCCCAGTCTTACGACATTTCGATAGAGAGAAGACAGCCTATGTTGAAGCTGACCTCAGATTTTATTTCCTCAGGGGTACTGTCACAGAAAGATGACAAGGGAATCCTACATCCAGTTGCATTCTTCTCGAAAAAGATGGCACCTGCAGAATGCAATTACGAAATCTATGACAAGGAGTTACTCGCCATCATCAGATGCTTCGAAGCATGGAGACCAGAAGTTGAGGGCACAGCAATGCCAGTCCAAGTTTTGTCAGATCACAACAGTCTTGAATACGTCATGACAACAAAGAAGTGTAATGGTGGGTGCACCAGATGTGAGAATCTAGCCACCCAAGGAAGGGATGAATTTACTAAGACAACACACTGTCTTAGAAAACAGAGCCAAAGGGTCGTAGCTTAGACTATTCCACAACGCAGCAATCAGGTGTGTGATGTAGTGAAGTGGTTCAGACAAGTTGCAACAAATGTTGAGTCTGGGAACTCAGGGGTAAGTCAGAGGTTAACACCTCACTGACTTTTCAGAAACAAGGAGTAACAAGATGAATGCTTGGAAGCTTGGAAAAGACGTGGAAGTATGTGATAGTCGATTTACTGTATTGTCTGCTTGCCCTCTCAAGGAAAGGGCAATCCTATTTATGCTAAAGGAGTGTAGTTCTCTCATTTTCCAAGACTTTCCATGATTACCAGGCTTGGTAACTGTAGTCGACGTAAGAGAATCCCATAGAACCATCTCTTAGGTTCGTAGCCTATAGGAAGTAAAAGGAGGTCCAAGGTCAGAGTACCCCTATAGGTAAATTATGTCATAGACAAATTATGTCATAGACAAATTATGTCATAACTTAACCAATCTTGTGGGTAACTAAAGAGTGATGACATGTAATGAATCATAGAGGTTCGTAGGAGCTTTTAGAGCTATCGTTCATGCTCCTAGGCCTCTAGTTGGTAGAGATATGTCATGTGGTAGTATGAGTGATGTCATGTAATGAATCATAGAGGGTTGTAGAGATATGCTATGTGGTAATATCGGCCCAGTAACTAAGGAGCGATGACGTGTAATGAATCATAGATGGTTGTAGCAATCGTTGAGTAGTATTGCTCTTGTTGTTGGTGTGATAAGCCAAAATATGTATAGTGACTTGTAGGTTTGAGGAGGAGATTTCCAAGTTTGCTCTTGAGTTTGATAGCAAACTGAGTGCAACGAATGTCAGTATGACAAGAAGCTTACTCAAAGGCAAGCTTGATGGGCTGAGTTTCTGTCAAGGTTTAACTTTCAAATTATATATCGACCTGGGAAACAGAATGGAAAAGCAGATGCATTAACTCGAAGACCAGGAGATAGACCAGAAGGGAACGAAGAAGATGACTGCCAAAAACAACAACTTCAAACCCTGATACCACTCAAGAGACTCCATCCAGACCTCCAAGAGATAAGGAAATTTAGAGATGCTAAGGTGAATCAAGACATCCAACTCGCGCCAGTCCACCTACAGGAAGCAAGTATTCTAGACAAAATCCAAACTGCGCAACTTCAAGACAGCTTATGCAAAGACACTATTCAGAAGCTGCAGAATGGAGAACGAAACAGTCCAGACATAGCTCTAGCATATTGCGAGGTGAAGGAAGGGCTCTTATATTATCATAATAGAGTCTGGGTTCCAGAAAGTGCTCACGTTGAACTCTTACAAGAAATTCATGACCAACCAGCAATGGGACACCCTGGCATTGGGAAGATGATTCAGGTCATCAAAAGACAGTATTACTGGCCCCGGATGGATAAGACAATTATACAATACATCAAGAACTGCCATATCTGCAAAAGATCAAAACCTACAAGAGATGCTTATAATGGACTTCTTCAACCAATCCCTGTTGGCAGCCAGCCGTGGCAGGACATATCAATCGACTTTATTACAGGATTGCCATTGTGTTACAAAAGAACGCCATTTTATCCCATGCTTTGCAGGCCAAGAAGGCACAACTGCAGAAGCAACAGCACAGCTACTCCTTCAACATGTATGGAAACACCATGGTTTACCAAATTCAATCATCTCAGACAGAGGCCCCCAGTTCGTGGCTGCAGTGTGGAAAATCCTCTGCAAAGTTTGGAAAGTTATAACGAAATTGTCTACTGCCTTCCACCCAGAAACTGTAAGGACACAGGGCACCCAGCTCACAGTAATAGCATATGAGAGTGCGAGTCGGAGGCTAAACGGATGCTATCCTATAGGTCTACTATGAAGGATACAAAAAAGATGAAGGGGGAACCCCGTTGAGTCTGTTTCCTTAACTCCCGAAACGGGCCCGACTCGGTTATCCCAACCCTAGCCCTGAACCTTCCACCGCAACAGGTCTACATCGGCCCTGAACCCTATACACTTACCGTCCCCCACTATAGTGTAACTCGCTATATGCTCCTCTACTGGTTCGAAACCCCATCGAGTCGGATTCCATGCTTGTAGTGACCGTAACAGTTCTGAGACAGGTTCTTCGAGTATCTAGGTACGGAGGCATCCTTACAGAAACGGATGGGCAAACTGAGAGGTTCAATGCAGAACTTGAACGATATTTACGAGCTCATGTTAACTATCTCCAAGACAACTGGGTCAAATATCTTTGCATGGCAGAATTTGCAGCAAATGCTCTACCTTCAGACTCTACAAAAATCAGTCCATTCTTTGCAAATAACGGCTTTGAGCCAAGAATGAGTTTTGATATTAAGAACAGCGAGTTCCAAATAGCGCCACAGGAACACAAGGATATGATACAAAGCATGAAAGATATTTGGGAGTTTCTGCAAGACCAAATCGCACTCTCGCAAACTCGCATGGAGACATTCGCAAATCAACGCAGGAAAGCTGCACCAAGATATCAGGTTGGAGATCAAGTATGGCTATCTACACGAAATATCAGGACTCAGAGGCCATCGAAGAAACTTGATCACAAGCAAGTTGGTCCGTATAAGATTCTCGAACGAATTGGGCAAGTGGCATATCGATTAGAGCTACCACCAAGCATGAAGATACATCCTGTCTTTCACAGCAACCTCTTACGACTTGACTCAGATAATGCTTTACAAGGCCAGCACCATGAACCACCCCTGCCAATCGTTATAGAAGATGAACTTGAATGGGAAGTTTAAGAAATCCTAGATTCTAAATTCCTACAGAAGAAGCTGTTCTATATGGCAGCATGGAAGAACCACCCACCAGACAACACTTGGTATCCCGCTACAAACTTCAACAATGCACCTGAACTCACACAAGCTTTCCACTGAAAATACCCACAGAAGCCACAATGATCTTACTCTTGATCAGAAGATCAATCTTAGTAGGGGGGGGGGGTAGTGTTACGATTATAGCTTACAGCTTGTTATGGTTGTTACGGTTGTTACGGTTGTTATGGGTGCAGCCTTAGCCACCAAGGCTACAACCGCTAAGCGGACAACTGTATATTACGAGGAATAGCCTCACCTTCCTTCCTTCTTCTTCTTCTTCTCTCTTTAGATTCAATCTAGCTTACTTTACCCTGACTAGCACTATAACCTCCATGACCATCATAACATTTATAGACTTAAGGTCTTCTAGGTTTTGGTTAGCCATCTTGGCCTTCTCTTAGGCAGTGTATGCCATAGCAACTTTGCTATTATTCTTTCACTTAGTAGATCAGACTCGTATTACCAAAGGCACTATTATGCAGTTTGTTAACTATAGGAGCTACTTAAGAGGAGCACACTTCCCTCACAGCTATATTCCTTGTTGAGGGAGCGTTGTGAAAGGTCTGATCTATATGAGGAAGCAGGTAGAAACAGTAGTAAGAAAGTGCGACATTTGTAGCAAATCGAAATCCAATAGCCACTTGCCCTATAGACAGCTCAAGTCGACACTAGTACCAAAAGGAGCGTGGAAATCTATAGCTTTATACTTCATCATTAAGCTACCACACTCTTAGGACCTGTTAACAGGAGTAGAATACGACTCTATCCTAGTTATCATAGAGAGACTTACAAAATATAGGAAGGAACACCACAACTTATTAACAGATATCGAGGTTCAATGCACTCATCTTAAAGTATAAGACAATCCCAACTTATATTATGTTCTAGCCCTGTTCGCTTCAAATTTTATAATACACTCTTAAGGTAATTAACCTAGACATTGTCATCATCTGCTGGAAGCCTTTCATAGCTACCAGCCGTATCCCCATTCCAACTCCGCGGCCTTGTTGTCATCATCCGCCTTGGAGTCTCGTACATTGTCGTGTAATTAACGACCTCCCCATCTAGCATCGCCGAGCCATTCTCCCGGCTCCCGAATATCGGTGCAGGGTCGCACCAGAAATCTTTGCAGTTCTTTAGGCAACCCCTAGAGAACGGATTGAGGTTTGCCCTAGGCCTATCCTTGTCTGCGTTTAGAGCAGTCTCAACAAATGTATTGACACCCAGGATTTTCTTCCATTGGGCAAAGCAGCCTCCATGATCATGGCGGTGGTGACGATGGCCGTGTGATGATGCGGCAACTGCGGGATCTGGACCTCTGCCTTCGCTGCCTAATTGTGCTCCACCCATTGATAAAGTTCCAGCAGCTAGAGCCGTTGTAATCGCCTCAGAGGCGCCGTGCCCATGGCCATGATGAGAACCGCGCATATTCTCATACGTTGTCATAGCTCGTGAGATTTGAATAAGTTGCACGAAGAGTAGCATTGTAACCCAGGTGAGTTGCAACGCCGCCCATACAGCAAGGATAAGAGTGTAAGGGTCGCTGTTGACGTAGCGGCATATTGACTCCGGAAGGATATTACACTCTGGGGATCCCTTCTCCGTCATGGAATCATAATCTGAGGGTCGTATAAGTTATTGTGAGCTATTGGAATAGTCATGTGGACTACTTACAGCTAACCGTGATAGCAATAAGGAGGCCTACACCGAGTTCCAAGAAAACAAGATAAAGGAAGAAGTGGCGATGGTTATTGACACCAACACAGTTATAAACCCAAGGGCAATGGCTTCCGCAGTTAGTAATGATTCTATGAAGGGCATCAAATAGACTCACTGATCGTGTTTTCCTACGCATCTGTTGCACCTCTTGCAATGTTTACTTCTGAGAGGCATCCGAACCATACATTGCACACAGAAATTTTGGTCGTCAAATTTCCATAAGCTCAGCAGTTCATTGATAGCAGCCTTCTGTTCTGTAAGACCCGCTAGCTTCGGTACGTATCCTGGCTCGTAGAACATGGTGCAAAAGTAAAAATAACCGCACAGAGAATATGCGATGGCGAAGAGGGTATTTACAATAGGATATGAAGCGTAGGTTGCTGCGACTGTTAGCACCCATATTTCCAGACTTGTGTAAGCACGAACCAGGTAAAAGTGTTGTGACCCAGCTAATACCAACAAAAAACAGAGTACCGGCAAATATCCCTGAAAGCCACGGCTACACTGGGTTAGCTAAAGACCAGCCAAATTTCTCCTCCATATAGTCTTACTGTTTTATGGAGTTGTCTCATATCCGAAGGTGCATATGCCATAGCTTTTTGGGCCAATAACTGCAAGCAATATCCTACAAGTAGGGCAATTGGAATTCCTGCATAAACAACCATATGGCTCGTGATCATCAGCATGCACCAGATGATCAGAAAAGGCCAGAAAAATAAAAATTTCGCCATGGCTGATCGTTTGTTTTGGATGAAGTATGGCGGGGTCGGGAAGTTAAAGGCAGCGAGGCTACCGTCTTCCTTATAACCACATTCCTTGAGTGCCTTGTGCCATGCAAATGTCGTTTTCATCTCGTCTGCCATTACAGATGGAGTTTTACCGCTGGCGGCTGCAACGAACCTATCCGAGCCATATTCAATGAGCTTTTGGATGCAGCCCACTGACCCTTTAACAAGTCCCCAATGTAATGGTGTGAACCCCGTTTCGTCCGTGGCAAGCACATCGGCGCCCCACCGAAGAAACAAGTCGACGCAAGCTGGGTATCCTTTATACGCAGCCCACATCAGACATGTGTGTTGTTGTGAATCACGCACGTCCACAGGGATATTTTGGTGGAGTAGTAGAACCAGAAGGAAGACATTTCCTTCAAAGGTTGCAAGGTGCAAGATATTATAACCTTGGACGTCCGTGAGTAAGGGGTCGGCCCCATACTCCAGAAGGAGATGCACAGTATAGTAATGGCACCTTTGGGCCGCCCACATGGCGGGTGTAGCGACCGACTCTCCGCCCTTCTTATTTACATCTGCTCCGGCCTCCAGGAGAAATTTACACATCGCATACTGATTGTTGATTGCCGCCCACTAGGAAATAGTTAGCCATCAGATCGTCAAAGGGCTAACAGTTTCCGGGAAGGCATACATGGAGCGGAGTGATACCCTCATCATCACAGTGTAATGGTGTGAAAACGCCTGCATCATAGAGCTTCTGTACTGAGGAAATGTCTCCAAGTCTGGCCAGCTGCATTATATCTTGGCTCGCATCGAGCGCTGGCTCCGCGGCTGCGATATTCTTCATTTCTAGATTGCCATCGTCCACACTGAGCTGCGGAGCCGCCGATGACCCCTTTCCATTCAACATCAGGGGCGACAAATTCGAAGTATTCTTCGACCGGTCTTTGACAGTTTGTAATGGTGCGTCAGGATGAGGCATTATGGTCCCTGTGGTGGCATTTTAGCTTTTGGTTTCGAACAGAGGCAGGAGCAATGGAATCACGGATAGACAGGTTGGTACTGACATCGTATATATTATAATATTCCCCGACATGCAGATGTTTGTTGAAAGGGAAGAAATGCGACAATCCGAAGCTGAGGCAGTGCCAAGTACGAGGCTGAGCTATATGATGGCGGAACACTGGGACGCCGTCCTTTCTACACCCAATTGATAGCGGCTGGGCGAACTAAGGTTAGGGGTTCTGGGTGCATTTGGGGCGCTGGCTCGCCGGCGAAATGATACACCGTTCCCACAAACAGTGGGTCAACTTACTTTCTACGGACTCCCACTCTGTCTACTCCTCGTTGCCGATCAAGTGAACACGAACATTCGAACAGTGCATGGGCGCCCGAGAAATACTTTGCCCACAGCCAGAACAGCTTCACAAGACAACGCACGAAGCATCTTCAACTTCGGCCATTGTGGCGTCTACAAGCTGGGCTTCGCTCTCCGGTGGCCATGTCCAAAATAACCCAGTTAGCGGAGGCCTTGCTCAGTCCCTCCCCTCTTGGATTTCTTTTCGCCCTTATCGTCGTTATATCTGTCCCTATACTTTTACATGCCTTCCTAAGCCGCGGCAGTAGCGTGGCTGCTCCGCCGTCAATCTTACTGATTGGACCGAGCGGGTCTGGCAAGACATCACTTCAGACTCTTGTATGCTCAATACACCTGTCTCTAACTTTTCCACCAGCTTACATGATAATAGTTCGAGCGAGGCAAGAGCGCCCCTACTCATACGTCGCAAACTCCACTTGTGGCAGAGTGCGCTCTTCCTGTCGGGATTACTGCTGCCTCAGCAAAGTACCGTTCTGCCAACGATCCCTCACACCGAGTACGTGAGAAGTTTCTACTCATCGACACACCAGGGCACGGGAAGCTTCACCATTATGCCTTCAGTGCCGTAGCCAATACGCAGAACTTGAAAGGCATTATTTTCGTTGTCGATGCTGCCAATCTTCCAGCGGGCGATGAAGGCCTCAGACAAGCCGCCGAATATCTTCACGACACGTTATTACTGTTGCAAAAGCGCTTGACAAACATCAAGTCTTCCAAGGCCCTCAAGGGAATAGAGGTCTTGATTGCCGCAAATAAGATGGATCTATTTACTGCGCAACCTTCTGCGATTGTTAGGAGCCTATTAGAGAAGGAGATCGGAAAAGTGAGAACCTCGAAATCTAAAGGTCTTCTGGAATCTTGTATCGAAACGGCAGGCGACCTAGATGATGTGGACAGTGACGACTGGCTGGGCGAGTCTGGGAGCTCCCAATTTAAATTTGAGCAACTAGATGAGTTCAACATTACTACCGAGGTTGCCGGTGGCTGTGCTATGGGAGAGAATGAAGCAGACGTCCAGAAATGGTGGGAGTGGGTGGGAGATCGTCTGTGAGCACATGTACGAGCACGAGCAAGGAATCTCCGCCACATCATGTATTTTTGAGGGTGTCCGCCAATTGGATGATTCGGTGGGGTTGGGACCGAGGCGGATAAGTTAGATCCAACTACAATGCCCACTCACTTCGGCCGCAGGGTCGAGATGAATGGCCATCTCCCCTGAGAGAGAGATATCAGAGGGTGCCGCACGATGTCATGGCAGCCAAATAAGGTTATGGGGCACGAATATATCGTGGATTAAATCGATAATGCTGCAATGAACGATACCATACATACCTGGGAATATTTATAATATAATTACATTTAATAGGTGAAATCAAGGATCTAGAATGAATGGTAATAACATGAAGCAGTCCCGTTGGAGATGAATAATATATCCCACGGTGCTAAACCGCAACATTTTGTTCAGCCTTGTCATTAAATTGGTTTCCACAGCCTCGTAAGTTGTTAACCCCACCATCACCACCGCCTCGAAGTATTCATATACCGCCAGCTCTTAAACACGGGAGGTGTTCCGTCGGAAGTAAATCTCGAAGTAACTAAAACATGAGATAGATTGGAATACGATATGCCACCATGGACGTCCGGACACTGAAGAACGAGCTGTTTCAACAAGTACCACCCCACCTCTCACCAAGCATTATAGATATGGAAGCTGACCGTTGAAGCTCAAACCGTGCTGTATTAAACTAAGTCAGCGCGCACTTAACGGTGATGGCAGTGCAGCTAGCCTGAAAGAGCTTCTGGAAACGACCTTGGAGCTCCATGGTTTGCTTGAAGAGAAATGCCGCCGCAAGGATGCCGTTTTCGATGAGAAACTCGCAGACTACATATTCTTTCCCCTTTCGCATGTTCTTCGAGCGTGTCAGAAGCGACCAGGTTGTTTGGCGGAAGCGGCTACAAAATGCGTGCAGATATTGCTCAAATACGGCTGGACAAATAATATCGGTATCGAACTTGGGCAACAGCTGTTAATTCTGTTCACGCTCTTTGCTGGTGGTGGCGCATCGTCGGATCCTATGCCAGAGGAGCTCAAGCTTGAGGCGTTCAAAGCACTTGCACTATTATTTGACGATCTTCGTCGAACATCTAAAGCTGCCACTTCAATAGTCGAAGTGTCTGTTATTCCCGCCCTTGGCCAGTGTTTGTCAACGATATTGGACGGGATTACAGAAGGGCCATCTCCAAATATCCAAATCGAGGCACTAGAGGCATTAAGGGCGCTATGGATGTGCATAAAGGATCGAGATGCCCTTTCAACCTTCTTGCCAGGGACGGTCTCTGCATTAACAAAGTGCTTGATGCCAAACAATCAAAATCCGCGTTCTGTCAAAGTCCTCGTCAGCTCTTTACAAGTCCTTCAGAGCGTTATTACCACTTCAATAGGAGATATTCATGTCAGGAGGCTACCGGATGACACCGACGTGGCTTCGGGTTCGACGCCAACGACAACACTGGGTAAATCATGGCTGACTGCAACTTCCGCGCAGATAAAGCTTGCTCTTACCAATATAATCAAGCTACGCAGTCATAAGAGTGAAGGAGTACGCCATGAGCTCGAGCGAACATGCCTAATCCTGCTGGATGAATGCCACACATCGTTAAAAGATGCCGCAGCTTTGCTTGTGGAAACATCTATGATCGTTGCAGCTCCCCAAGACGAAGGCGGTAAACCGTCACAGGTTACCGGCTTGAAGGATCTCTCTATTATGTACCCATCAATCGGCGAAATAATCAATGCAACTGTATACAACTGGGAAACTAGCCTTCCGCGCATTATTCAGTCATCCGATGATGCAGTCAAAGCATCCGCCATTCACCAGCTTTCCCAAGCCAGGACTCTCCTCGCTGTGGTTGATGCCGAGTCCAAAGTTTTGGACAATTCTATAACGGAATCTCTTAGAGATAGTGTTATAAACACGCTCGATTCTTCGACACCTGAGGTCGCCATCGAGGTGGTTCCTGTTAGCAATGACAGGGGTGCCACTTTGCCTTTGACGGTTCAAACCCCATATACTGAGAACTACCCGCCTCTTATCCTGGAACATGAAAGCCAGGTGGAGACCCGAAATCAGCTCAATAAGCTGATTGACAATGTTGGGCCCCGGGAAGTCCAGCTTAAAATGACGAGCAAGTTGCTCGAACAAATGTTCAACGCCTCGGGGAACCCTCTCCTGGCCTTATTTTGGTTATCATTCCAGCTGGTAAAGTCGGTGGTCTTGAAGACCGAGGATTTTGACGATCTTCTCACTTCCGATGTTACTTCGTCAGATGAGCAAGAAATTGCGAGAGAGGAGCTCTACAATTTTGCTGTCTCTATTCTCTCGGATTCAGAGAACGGCGGCAACGACTGGAGGCTTCTTGCGGTTGGCCTTGAAGTTGTTGCATATTCCTCACATCAAGCAGGAGAGGGGTTTAGGGAAAACCTCGTCGACACATTATATTCCGTTGTCCAGCTACTGGGTTCTGATAACTCTCACCTCAGATCCCATGCTATTACTTCACTCAATATAATCGCAAAATCCTGCGGTTACAGTCAAACGAGCGAACTCATCGTTGACAACGTCGATTATCTTGTCAACGCCGTGTCCCTGAAACTCAATACTTTCAACATATCTCCACAAGTTCCACAAGTTTTAGTTATGATGATTCGACTTACCGGACCAACGCTATTGCCATACTTGGATGATGTGGTTGGCTCGATATTTGCAGCCTTAGACAACTTCCACGGCTATTCGAAACTAGTCGACAGCCTCTTTTCTGTACTTGGTGAAATCGTACAGGAAGGTGCAGGATCAGGACAGTTACAGCTTACATCAGGGACGACAATAGATCACCAGAAACGGAAACCGGCGCCGCCAGATTTCAGTGACGTCCTCGAAATCCTTCGAAATATGAAATCCAAATCTTCTGCAATAGAAATGGAGCATGGGGACTTTCCAAGGGGTCCTTGGAAGACTGCCAAAACACTATTAGATGAAGCAGAAGCTACAGGCGAGGAGGAAGAGGGCGAAGAATCCAAAGGGAGCCAGGAAGTTAAAAAGACTCCACCAACGAAAGTCTACACGATGGTTGAAAGCATCGCCCGCCTTTCCCAACACTACCTTACAAGTGGCTCCCCCTATCTCCGTCTTCGACTACTCGACCTTATCAGCACTGCAACTGGCGCGCTTCACAATGACGAAGATGCATTTTTACCCCTGCTGAACGACATTTGGCCTGTGGTTATCAAACGTCTTTACGACCCGGAACCATTCGTGGTGATCGGCGCTGCCAATGCCGTCAGCAAGATCTTCGAGGCATCCGGAGATTTCATGAGCACAAGGGTCCAGACTGAATGGCCTGACCTCATTAAACTAGTCCGGCAGTGGATGAAGAAGGCAGAGGGAGAAAGGCGAGGCAAGCATGGCAGAGGCACGCACGCTTTGAGTTGGCAGGTTTGGGATGCTATGGTTGGACTGGTTGTTGCTATTTTGAAATATGTTTGCATTAATGACGGTATGTTCGATGAGGCTTTGAGCGTTTTGTCTGGCCGTCTGGAGAGAGAAGATATCAGAGAAGCCTTGGAGACTATCAATGCGGAAGCAGTGTGGCTAGTTGATCTCGCACAAGACCGTATTACAAGGAGGGATGTTCCTGTAATGGAGGGGTACGAATTTGCCAGCTGGGAAACATTATAGACTATGTGGTAACGGGGGTCTATTGCTTGCCTCGGGTCCGAATAATACGGCTAAGAATATAACGAATTTAAGTACGGATTTAAGTCACTCTGCCTGCCCAGTCACATTAATGATATATTCATAGATAGAGAATAGCTTCATTTGAGGTAATCAAAAATATTAATTCGTAATCATCGGCGCAAAGGTAATGCACCCCAAGAGCTGCTAACTTTTACAAGCGGAAAAAGTGTATTGAGTAGAGAGCAGACAGATAATTAGACAACGGTGAAAACAAAACCCGAAGCTCAAAACGGTCCAACCAAGCAAATATGTGCGACCATCTGATACGAGACAAATCCACACAGCCATCTCCTTAACAAGTTAACGGTTCGGCGTGGTGGTCCTCGCCATCTGGATCTGTTGTAATTGTTTATTCCGAGTCATCATCATCCTCTGACTCAGCCTCAGCAAGCCAAGTCAAGAACGTCTCTGCCGACTTGCGGACCTTCTTGCTAGTCGGAAGGTCGATGTACTTCTTGCTTGCCCTGGTGCCCCATTTGGTGACAACCTCCTCGCTGACAAGATCGTCATTGTAGTAAAGCATGAGGACCTTCGAGACTAGGTTGTAGACTTCTGGGCTCTCCTTGCCGCGCATGCCGATGAAGCGCTCGGTTCCTCCGAGGAGAGCCTTCTCGTGGCGTTCAGAGGTGATCAACTACGGCAGTTAGTGAATATTCATATAATTGCAGTCAGGAGTATCTCCATACCTTTTTCAGCAGTCCAGCCCTCTTGGGGATCTGGGCAACAATGTTGTCATCGAACAAAGTTTGAGCAAGTACAAGAAGCGTACGGTGCTTTGTCTCAATGCCCAGCTCTTTAGCCTTAACATAAATATCGACATCATCAACCTTTGTAACGCTGCCCTTGTCCTCGACCTCAGCCAGAATCCAGCTACCAAGCTGATCATAGGCCGAATTGCCACCGCCCTCACCATCCTCGTCCTCGTCATTATCAAGGACAAGTTTCTGCTTCAGGTCCTCTGGTAGCTGTTGCTGACGAGCTCTGACAGCCTCCGCAGACATGTCAACTGTCCAGGTATCGTCTCTGAGTTCCTCTGGCTCTTCGATATCCAAAGCGCCGTTCTTGATGCGATTGGTAAGCTCGTCGTCGCTTCCTGCCTCAGGGGCGCCGTCATCATTGCCTCCGTTCTCAGAGTTACTGTCGTTGGGGCTGCTGTTTTTCTCGCCATCGGCGGCGGCTCCATTGCCGTTCTCCTTGGCCCTGCGGGCAGCCTTGCGCTCGGCCTTGTCCTTCTTGCCCTTCTTGGGCGCATTCTTCAAGATGAAGCCGCTCAATTTCAGGCGGAGATCGACATCTGAGCGCTGACCACAAGCCTTGCAATCAAGCACAATATTTCCATCCTTTAAGACGACTACGGTCTCGGGATTCTTGCACTTCTTGCAAAGCACAAACTTTGAAATAAACCCGTCAAGGTAATCCTGTAGCTTTCCGGCTTCGTGGGCGCCGTTTATAATCCAGCGGTCGTCGGCTGGGTTGCTGTTTGTCTGGGCTCCCAGTTCGAAACCAAAGTATTTGATGACATAGGCACCGGGGCGAGCGAGAGACTGGGCAACGCTGCTCAGGTTGACAATGACAGTCTTGATGCCATTTCCTTTTCCCTCAATCTTAGACTGGATCTTCTCCATCTTGTATCGGTAGAAGGGGTCGCTGACATCGCGACGAATGTTGACGGTAGCCATGATTGCGGTTGAAGTTTTCTAATGCAAGCTTTCGGGAGCGGTTTTTCTATTGGTAGCGGCGACTGAAGACGTTGACTGGTGATACATATAGAGGTAGGCCGGCTCGTTTTGGAAGGTTCAAAGCAACAGCTAGGTTGATGGTTTAAAGATGATTCGTCTCACGGGAACATGTGTTGTGTCGATATTGTGAGATGCCGAAGGAGATGTCGGTTTATCCGTTAGAGCAGAAGTAAGGGCTACAAGGTTTCCGCGGTATACGGAATGGTTGCAGCTCGAGGGGCGGCTGGTGTCTGAGGTCGTTGGCGTGTTGTGTGAGATACATATAACGCAGTTGTGCCACTAGACGTGCTGTCTTATGGTTTGGGTGATTCGGTGTAGAGGATGCCCTCTTTTATGACAGGTCCCGGCCTTGGGGGAGAGTCGTAGAAGCGTTCGATAATATCAGACGGAAGAAGCTGGATGAAGGGCTTCAGCAGGTTTCCGGGGGTCGCGGATGGACGGAGAGGCCAGATAAGACTCGTGTCTGTCTGTTCTGTTTTGTTTTTTGGGGGTTTTTTTTTCGGCGGTTGAACGGCAGATGGGTCGAGAAGAGACTCCTTGATGGTAGGACTGTCGTGAGATTTGATGAAGCCTGACGAAGGTTTCTTGGTGTGGGTGGGGGAAAGAAGAAATTCTTTTGTGTGTTGATGTTTAGTTTTGAAGGGGTGGGTCAGGGAATTGGAAAGAAATTGTTCAGTGGAAGTGGAGAAGGGAATTGTATTTTGTATGTAGGTAGGAGATTAGTTTTTGCCCGAGGTGGCACTGAGGCGCTAGATTGTGTTTGGTGGTTACGAGTTTGCAGGACCGAGTAAGGAGGATAGAAGTATACTGCAACTAAGAGTACACATTAAGAGTATGGTAAATTGGTGTGGCCTGCTTGTATCTTTAGCAGATAAGAACTTAAGAACGGAGTTTTGGGAGTTGGGACTTTGGTGTGGAATTTTGTACTCCCGCACATAGTGCTCCATGAAATTCTTGTTGGCACGTGTTAGCATGAGCACGTAGCATTATAGAGAATATCTATCATATCTATAATAAATTTTCCAATTACTATACGCGTCCGTACATGACCAGGAACCTACTAACGCGCTGCAATCGAAGCCGGACATATTTCTGTAGATTTGCATGTTGTGATGATTGGAAATTGAGACAATATATATATATATATCACGTGATTGCAACTGCCCCGCGGTCCTTGGTCCCCGATATATCCATTGGTCCAACAGGTGCAAAGTCCGAGTCCAAACAAAAAGGAGCCATGATGCCCAAATCAGTAGACTACTCTCTGTACCTGGTCACTGACTCCACCCCCGCCATCCTGGGGGGTGCCAGTCTTGTCGATGTCGTGGAAGCTGCTCTGGAAGGCGGCGTGACTATCGTCCAATATCGAGACAAGTCCACTGAGACTGGTGTTATGGTCGACACTGCCAGACGACTCCATGCTGTGACGAGGAAATACCACGTCCCGCTTCTCATTAACGACCGTGTCGATGTGGCGCTTGCAGTGGGCTGCGAAGGCGTCCACATCGGCCAAGACGACATAGGTGAGGCCATTTTTTATATAAAACCCGGTCTCTAGCTAAATACCACGTAGATATCAAAACTGCCCGGCGCCTCCTTGGAGACTCGGCTATCATTGGCCTCACAGTAGCATCGATTGAGCAAGCACTGCAGGGCTGCGACGATGGGGCTGACTATCTCGGTATTGGCACGATATTTGCTACTCCAACGTAATATTCTACCATTCTCATTTTGTATTCACTTTTCTGACAATCCCCAAGGAAGACAAACACTAGGGACATCATTGGGACTGCTGGCTGTCAAGCGATCCTGAAGGCAATGGCCCCAAAGTATAGCAACGTGGGGACAGTATGCATTGGCGGCATCAATGCCACCAACCTCCAACGAGTCTTGTATCAGTCAAGTGACAACGACAAGAGCCTTGATGGCATTGCCCTTGTCAGCGCAATAATTGGCGCAAAGGATGCCAAAGAGGCAGCTAAAAATCTAAAGCACCTTGTCAACACCCCTCCTCCATTTGCAGCTGCCTCTCCATCAGACTATTCTGGCGTTAAGGATGTTGCAGGAATACTGGAGGCAGTCCCTTCCGTTATAAAATCCGTTAACGAGTCCAATCCTCTATGTCACAACATGACGAATCTTGTGGTGCAGAATTTCGCTGCCAGTGTTGCGCTGGCAATTGGAGGATCCCCAATTATGTCAAACCACGGCGATGAGGCGGCAGACCTCGCCAAATTAGGGGGAGCTTTGGTTATAAACATGGGCACTGTAACACAAGAAGGCCTCAGGAACCACTTACTTGCCTTGCGAGCATATAATTCGCAAGGAGGGCCTGTCGTTCTGGACCCAGTGGGAGCGGCAGCAACATCTGTCCGGAAATCTGCCTTGAAAACTCTTATGGCCGGTGGTTATTTTGATCTAATCAAGGGCAATGAAGGTGAAATACGACAGGCATATGGGAAAGGCGACGTCCAGCAACGAGGTGTGGACAGTGGAGCAAGCATGCTCGACGGCCAAAGCAGGGCAGCTCTAGTCCGAGACCTCGCTGAGCGGGAGCGGAATATTGTTCTGATGACTGGCTCTACAGACTATGTGAGCGATGGGCGGAGAACGATTGCGATTAAGAATGGCCACGAATATCTTGGTCGGATAACCGGTAGTGGATGTGTCCTTGGAACTACCATATCTGCAATGCTCGCTGTCCACCGGCATGATAAACTTATCGCAGCCATAGCTGGGCTGCTGCTTTTTGAGATTGCCGCCGAGTATGCTGCGCAACGCCCAGATGTCAAAGGCCCTGGGACATTCGTGCCGGCATTGATTGACGAGCTGGATAGAATTCGGCAGAGTAATGCCAATGGTGACTTTAGCTGGTTGAGCCGTGCAGACATCAGCCTAGTCAGTTTTGAGTAAATACAAAATACCAAAAATTATGAGGCACAGCTACGATATATTTATAGTCAAAAGGCGAACAAAATCGTATTTTACCCCGCATCGGCTGTCTGGATGCTCGGCTTTGGCCCCTCCATCTATCGGGGATCTGGACCCGCAGGCACCTTCCGCGGTGTACATATAACGCACTTTTGAGCCTAGAATTCCCCGAATAGAACTCATCGAATAAGCACAAATAGAATACCGATCTGCCACCAACACCCAGGTTGTTGGGAATCCAGATATCCAAAGCCATGGCACAAACTCTTACGCGACGCCTTGGTAAGTCACTCTCCACCGTCCCGCGAAAGCAATTGAGTTTCCTAACAACCCGATAGCCAGGCCAGCAATCTTGTAAGCCATTCCTCCTCCAGCACCAGAATTGCCCTCACCAGGCTTCAATACCGTTGCTACCTCCATACCTTGTTCCGCCGATCTAACAGGCCATAGCATCTGCGACATCCAAGAAAAGTTCCGCCCAGCAGTATGGGAATACGACAAGATGTAACACCCCCCCACCACCCAACTGCCACATACTAACCCCCCCTCCAGAATCCTCACCTCCCAAAAGCTCCTCCGCGCCGCCTCCATCCTCTCCATCCCTGTCTACGCCACCACCCAAAACGCCGCGCGCCTCGGCCCAACCTGTCCCGAACTCAACCTCTCCACCGCCGTCGCAGAAGTCGACAAGACCGCCTTTAGCATGTGGCCTGCCCTAGGCCACCACTTCTCCTCCAGCGCCCCCTCTGAAATCGTCATCGTCGGCATCGAGAGCCATATCTGCGTGACGCAGACGGCGATTGACGCGCTCGGTGCTGGGCATAAGGTTTACATCATCGCGGATGGGGTGAGTAGCTGTAATCCGCAGGAGATTCCGATTGCGTTGGCGAGATTGAGACAGGCTGGTGCGGTGGTGACGACTAGTGAGAGCTGGTTGTATGAGTGTATGGGGGATGCGGGGATTGCTGAGTGAGTTTTCCGTGATGCGTTGTTAGGGGAGGGTGAAGCTGACTTTTGGTAGATTTAAGCAGATTGCTGGAGTGGTGAAGGATACTAGCAAGGATACGAAGAGGGTGATGGAGGCGTTGCTGAGCAAGATTTAGATGGGCAGGACTATGGTCTGTAACATTACGAGGGGTTTCTATGCGCAAGGTCTAGAACTTGAGTTTTAAGGGGTGTTGGAGCTGATAGATGGCGGACCAGTCCAAACTGGATGGTGGTTTACTATGATAGTTGTTGATAGTTTAGAAACAAGAAATGGTGCAACACATTTTGATCATGAGATAATCGATTGCGATTTAAAATATTGCTATTTCTTGTTGGGTTGGCAGTGTAGACGGAAGGCTCACGGTCTCAAGGAAATTCAGTAATAAGATGTCATGGCATTAATAGTATTCTGATTCATCTACTAGGGCATCGTAAGATTTTCCTCTTACATCCAGCCCTCTCCCGGTATTGCTAGATATATCGGTATCAAATTACCCAGATCTACCTACTCAGTCGTCGTAAGATCTGCTTTCGGATTCGAAGCCTTCATCCACCCAAACGCTGAAGCCCCACCAATCGGGTTCGAGGGCCGACGAGCACCAGTAACAGGCCATGCCTCTTTATGAGCCTTCTCCTCAGCTGCCGTCTTCTTAGTTTCCCAGCGCGAGGATGCGTTGCTATCAGTAAGACTAGCTTGGCTCTTGCGTCTGAACGAATCGTCTTCCAACGGACTGCTCGGCGGGGGTTCATAGACATGACGTGCACCAGAAGTAGAACGGCCATTCTGAGGCCCCTTTGACGGCTTCAGCACCTTCATGCTTCTGTTACCACGGCCGGGTTTGTTGTAGCCACTTGCGGACACCGTCTCTTTTTGCATCTCGCCATCACTCTTTAGTAGCCCACCATTTCGCCAGGAGCCCCATTTAGCCCCAATGTCTTCTCGGTTTTCATTTTCTTTATTCGTTGCTGACTTGACATCTTGTTTGCTCTTAGTTTGGCCTTCGGTGTGGGTGCCACCTGCAGTCGACCCAGACTCAGCCAGCCCAGGGCTATTGTCAAAGGGCACAGGTCCCAAGCTTGGACTAAACCCATTCTGCTGATCCAATACATGTTTTTCGTCCTCGTATTCGTGGCGAGGGGCTCTCGAAGATAGTGGTATCGCAATCGGATCAGACCGCATGGTCTCGCTAGGTGCCTCATTCCCTCCTTCGTTCTCATCGGGCCCAGATAAGAGTGCAGGTTTGCTTGATTTACCAGTAGGGGTGAACGGAAGAGCAGCTCCCTTAAGCTCGACGGCTTCGGGCGGATTGTTCATCGTGCAAATGTTCTTGAAGACATTGTCATCCTCTGGTCGTACAAATGGTACTGAGAGTTTCTCACGGCCATCTCCATAGAGTGTCATGGTATTTTGGGAGAGGAGAAGGTCAGCACTATGTGCCCTCAAGGTATCACTCCCAAGGAAAATGTGTATGGCTTTTGGTCGCCGTGATGTGGAACGCTGGTGAATGCCGGTAACCTCAAAATTGACGGTCAACGCAGGTAGTTGTGGAGCAGGGCTATTGGCTCGAGATGAAGGCTGTGTTATAACAGCCTCCGGAAGGTAAACGGGTAGAGTGATGACAGGGAGTCCTTTGGAGTTTTGTTGGATGCGGTCCACATAACCAAGCTTCATAACGAGGGTATACTCCAATGTCGATTTATGAGAACCGGTGCATACATCGGCATAGAGCAAGGTGTCATGAGAGAAAATTTCGTTCAACCAGCATCGTATAATGCACGGGACGTTGCCTAGTATGAAGAGACCTGGAGGCGGCTCCGGGATCTCTAAAGGTGATGGGTCATCTTGGCCTCCGATCACAAAGTTACTATCAAGGCCGAGACTGCTAGTACAACCTGATGGTGCCGAGTACATGGAACGAACGGAATGGCCTGCGGAGCTATGTCTTCCATCTGACTTATGTGAGAGTGTCCTCTCCATAGGATGACTACCAAAGCCGCTATTTGGGCGAGTAGGGCCAAAGTCGCCTGATGTGCGAGATGATTGTGCCCAGTTTGATCCTTGGGTGGCACTGACATCAAAGCGTACGCTGTTCGCCCGTGATGCGCCGCGCCGCACCGGCTCTTCTTCCGCATCCAGGCGCAGGCTGCCCAGCAATGATTGCCCATGCTCATCATCGAAGCCATCAAAAACCTGAGACTGAGATGAATGTACCAGACCTAATGGTTTCAGATCAGTATGGAAGTTGGATATAGGGGCGTGACGTCTACCTTGCTGAGTAGTGCCTAGCACACCTGGGAATGGAGGGTTCCAGACAGACTTGAGCGCCGCATCATCCGCTTGCCTTCGCTCGAGTCGGAGTATGCGATCTGCGTGGTTGATCTGAACCGCATGAACATGCTTTACATCCATTTCCAAATGGTATAGGCTTTCCTTTGTCGGTGAGAAATGCCCGTCCATTCCTATAGCGTAGCTTCTAAGGCAAGGGCTGCGTATTTCGTACAACTTCCAGTTCTAAGCATGAGTGGTCTACCATGGACCTTAAAGACCCAGTCGCTCTGACCCAGGCCCAGCCGTTTCTTGTCTTCTCTTTCTTTCGCCCCAGCTCATGGGGAGGATATAACCGATCGCCACCGGCGGCTTGCAGGTTCGGTGATATTAAATTATTCGTCGATCAGCAAGGCAAGTGTGTCCGGTGGTCCAGCTCGCGCGCAAGTCACAATATGAATGATGAAGGTTGGTGGTCTGTAGTTGTTCGACGGTCACTCTCTACTTCGATGCTTCGGGTGTATAACAGGCAGCGCCAGAGGTTGATGGAGGCAGGTGGAAAGGAAGGTTGATCTAGAGCTCAAGCTGTACCAGGCGGTGGATGGTTTTTCTGAAGTCGTCGGGGTTGGATGGGGGTAGGAAACAGAGTCGCGGAGAGAACTGGGTCCTGGAGTGCGTTGGTCTGGAAGAAAGAAGATGGAATATAGGATTCGTACGACTGGAGTCTATGGGATGTGAAACTCTAAAGGTGTAGATGTGCGAGTGGGAGTTTGAGTCTCTTGTTTCTCCAAAACAGTCTTGGATGTTCTTGTATGGTCTTGTATGGGGGTAGATGCATCTTGTCCAATGTCCAATGTCCAATGTCCAATGTCCAAATGTTGTCGGTAAATAACGGTCAGCCACAAGTGGCATCACCATAAAACGGTCTCGGGCCAAGTGGACAAGGGTACGACCAAGATAAGACAGCTTACTTGTGCTTTCCTCGCTCTATCACTATTATATACCCCGATATTATAGCCACGAAGCTTTATTGTAACTACAGATCTCCATACTCGTGGTCAAGGATCCGCAAACCCTCAGCAAACCTTCAGCAACGCCCCGTCCCCCTACAGGCGTGGTGCTCATTTGTATAGCTCCCATCACAAGGCTACCGATCACTTTCCAGGAGACTTTCTTCCCCCGCTAGACTGGCTGGCATGTAGTGCAGTGTTCGCCATACTGCCATTTACCAGAACTATCGATGAAAGCACCTCCTGATCATGCCTGAGCTTCTTTCACGACTTCTGCTTCGCGTTTACCAGGCAGTCTCTTCTTGAGGGGGCCTTGATTTCCCGAAACATGAAGGGCGACGATCCGAGCCCGGTCGACACCTCGACACCTGCGTCACCGACAAGTGTTAGGCAGTATCCGACTACAAAACGCTATAGGTCTCTACTATTGCCTTCTAGCAGTGACCTTGCCGCTGCTAGAAGCGACGCAGAACAGAGAGATGACGAACACACGCCGCTCCTCAGAGGGGCAATGAGCACGAATCACATGCGTATAGCAGATGGGGGTTCTACTCCAAAGCCGCGCCTCTCGAGACACCATAGTGGAACAGGTACTTTAACGTCCCATCTGCCCCTTCCCTTTTCTGGAACAATCCGAGTACTCTTCGTGGTTCAGCACAGCTAACAGGGCTTCACAGGCAGCCTCCGTCACCATAGTCGAAGCAACTCTTGGGGCCAACGCCTTCCCCAGGCACTCAATACCGACCGAAGTACCTCCAAAGCCTTTGACAACGATCTCAGAAGCTCAGTAACTCTAGATGACCGAGTCTGGTACGATCAGTTTACGTCCACCGATTGGGTCCACGACAATATCGCAGACGCATACCGCGTCAAGGCACTCCGTGCAAGGAAAGATTTTGCAGGGCGGGTATGGGCATTCCTGGACGGCTCGCAGGGTTGGGTTCTGAGTGCCTTGGTTGGGTGTACAACTGCTTTAGTAGCATATATTGTTGATATTTCCGAGGCCCCTACCTTTGACTTCAAGGAGGGATACTGTTGGGACGGTTGGTATCTAAGTGAGAAGGTAAGTCCGGGCAGGAATAATTCTTCATATTGGCACTAATACTCTTCAAGAAATGCTGCCCTAATGGGGACCGATGTGCTGCCTGGCGAACTTGGTCCGAAGTCATAGAAGTACCCGGGGTCAATGGGGAATTGACCGAGTTTGTCATTTATGTTCTCCTGATGATCGTTTTAGCGTCCTTATCATGTCTCCTTACTCTTTCAACGAAGACAGTTGTGCCTTCAACCTACCGAATCTCAACATTTGACGAAAATCTGGCTGCAGTTCCTCAAAGAGAAAATGAGGAGGGTGGGAGCCCAAAACAAACCAAGGCTGCTGAATACAGCTCGTCTTCTATGATCTATTACCCAGCTGCTGGAAGTGGTGTTGCAGAGGTCAAGGTGATTCTCAGCGGCTTCGTTCTGCATGGTTTCCTTGGTCTTAAAACTCTCATAACCAAGACATGCGCTCTTATTCTCAGTGTGGCATCCGGGCTGAGCCTGGGGAAAGAGGGACCATTCGTTCACATAGCTGCATGCATAGGGAACATTTCTTGCCGCTTGTTTAACAAGTATGATTACAACGATGGGAAAAGGCGCGAGATCCTGTCTGCGGCTGCGGCTTCTGGTGTTGCCGTTGCGTTCGGAGCGCCAATTGGTGGCGTGCTGTTCAGTCTAGAAGAGGCTTCGTATTTCTTCCCGGCGAAAACGTTGTTCAGGACCTTCTTCTGCTGTATTACGGCGGCGTTGTCTCTGAAGTTTTTGAATCCATATGGAACTGGCAAGATCGTCATATTCGAGGTGAGATATCTGACAGATTGGGAGTTGTTCGAAATGATACCCTTCCTAGCAGTTGCTGTGGTTGGTGGCGCCGCAGGTGCTCTGTTCATCAAAGCGTCATATATCTGGGCGCGCTCCTTCCGCAAGATAACTCTGGTGAAAGACTATCCGTTACTAGAGGTGGTCCTCGTGGCTCTTGTAACCGGATTGATAAGCTATTGGAATATTTTTACAAAGACTCCTGTGGCGAAGTTATTGTTCAACCTTGCCAGTCCATGCAGCCCAAACGACTTGGATTCGATGGGTCTGTGCCCGGAAAGCATGGGAGATATCGATTCCATTTTGAAGCAACTATCAATAGCCTTCGTTATCAAGAGCTTTCTGACGATTATTACATTTGGCATTGTACGGCCCCTGACCCCCAGCCGTGTTTGAAAGGTATGCTAATAAGTTAAACAGAAAGTTCCCGCTGGTATCTATGTTCCTAGTATGGTTGTAGGCGGCCTCCTTGGAAGGATAGCTGGCCACCTTGTACAGCGACTAGTGCTCCAATTCCCACATGCTGCGATTTTCGAACAGTGCGCATCTCATCCAAACGGCACTTCGTGTATCACTCCAGGTGTCTACGCGTTGATAGGAGCCGGTGCCACTATGTGCGGCGTTACTCGCCTCTCCGTTACGCTTGCCGTTATTCTTTTTGAGCTCACCGGCAGCCTTGATTATGTTCTACCATTCTCACTGTCGATTCTCGTTGCCAAGTGGACCGCTGATGCGGTTGAGCGGCTGAGCATCTATGTAAGCTTGAACCCCAGCCTTTTGAAGATACATTTGCTCATAACATCAGGATCTCCTCACGAATATGAATTCATATCCGTTTCTTAATAACAAGACAAAGCCTGTCTTTACATCTGATCTCGCTGATATCACCCCTCGCGTGCGAAGGGAGAGAGTCATTGACATCTCCTCATCGCCTCTTATGTCCGCCAAGTCCTTGCGAGAGAAAATACGGATACTTCATGAGGCTGGAGAACTTGATGGAGGTCTTCCGATTATTAGACAAGACGTTCTAGTTGGGCTGATCCCAGCGCCGGGTCTTGAATTCGCCCTGGACAGCCTACCAAACGAAGAGAATGACTTATGCCTGATGGCAGCTGTGAAATCTTTCGATGACGACGAAGATGAAACAGCCGATCCGACCGATTTCACTTCATATATTGATCCGGTAGGCATCCCGAAGATTACCGGCCCTTATTCCAATTCTGACTCTAAAAGGCTCCTGTGGCACTCGACATTCGTTCCGAGATGGACTTGGTGTATGAATGCTTTGTCAAGCTTGGACTTCGCTATATCTGCATTCTGCGTGATGGTCGTTACGCAGGAATGGTAAGCCACCTTGCTCGTTTCATATCCGCCAGCTTGCTAACTATTTCAGCTTCACCGCAAGGTGTTTGTAAAGTACGTCAGAGAATTAGAAGAGAGTGGCCACTGAACATGTGCCATTGCTGCTCTCGGTTTATTGTTGGATCGCATTGGGCCCAATAGGGCGTAAATGGGGTATATAATAGTCTAAATTGTGCATTGGCAAGCCACAGAATGTCAGCTGGCATAATTGCATCTATTTATGTGTATGCTGAGTTGATATTCGGTATATAATAGTTAGGCCAATAACCCACTGGTTGGGTATTCCTTTGCTTCTCTAAATAATATATTATTTCGTATTTAAAATTAATGTCACAAACGTATAATCAAACACGGTTATTATACATGAACCCAAACCACACGCCTTATAAAAGTACATAGCCACAAGGCGCTCGTCCATGAAGCTATTCCCATCGATTCACCCCTCCGGCCCTCGTTGCGACCCCGGTTGGGGGCTGGCCAGGAATACATTATATCCTGTACCCCTCCCTAGCAAACACCAAAGTCGCATTCGTGCCACCAAACCCAAACGAGTTCGAGATCGCAACATCAACCGACCTATCCTGCGCATGAAGCGGCACATAATTAAATCCCCTATCCGGATCTGGCTGGTCCAAATTCAGCGTCGGCGGCACAACCCCCTCCCTAATAGCCAGCACCGCAAATATCGCCTCCACCGCCCCCGCAGCACCCAAAAGATGCCCAATAGCCCCCTTCGTACTACTCACCGTCACATCCCCCTCCTTCTCTACACCTTCCTCCCCAAGCATCAACGTCCTAACCGCCGCCGCCTCCGCAGCATCCCCAATCACCGTCGACGTCGCATGCGCATTCACATACCCCACCTCCCCCGGCCTCACCCCCGCCGTCCTAAGCGCCCGCCTCATCGCCAGCAGCGCCCCCGCCCCATCCTCCCTTGGCGCAGTCATATGGTACGCATCAGCGCTCAACCCATATCCCAGGACCTCGGCATATATCTGCGCGCCCCTCGCCTTCGCATGCTCGAGTTCCTCCAGCACCATCACGCCCGCGCCCTCGCCTATCACAAAACCGTCGCGTCCGCTGTCGAAGGGTCGGCTTGCGGCGGAGGGGGTGGAGTTGTAGGCGCTTGAGAGGGAGCGGGAGCGCGCGAAGCCGGCGAGGGCGAGGGGATGGATGCACGATTCGGAACCGCCGGCTACCATGACGGTGGCGTCGCCGAAGGCGATGAAGCGTGCGGCGTCGCCGATGGAGTGCGCGCCTGTGGTGCAGGCGGTTGAGACTGAGTGGTTGGGGCCGAGGAAGGAGTGGCGCATTGAGATGTGGCCGGCGGCGAGGTTGACAAGGAGTTTGGGGACGAAGAGGGGGGAGACTTTTTTGTATCCCTGGGGTGCGTGGGTTAGTTTTGGTGTTGCTATATGGATATGGAAGGGGTAAAGGGGAGGAGAGGTTGGACTTACTCCTTTGTGGTAGGTGATGGAGGTGTCGTAAATCTCTTCGAAATTTCCAATCCCACTCCCTAGACAGACACCCGTATCCTGAGCTCCAATACTTCCAGGCTTGGGATCCCACCCTGCATCAGCGAGGGCCATATCCGAAGCAGCGATAGCATACTGAGTGTACTTGGCCATCCGGCGCTGGTCCGCTCCAGAAAGCCACTCATCTGCGTTCCACAACAGGTGCTTCAAAGGCGCCTTACTCTCGTAGGATTCGTCTTTCGGCACAGGCTCTATGAAACTTTGCCTGAATTCAGTTGGCACAAGCCCTGCGACCCTACTCGGGATAGCTCTATATTCCTCAGAGTCAGGCGTGGCAACAAGTCCGCTCTTCCCAGCAATAAGTCCTCGCCATGTGCGCGATATGGAAGCGCCGAGCGGTGTTACGGCGCCAAGGCCGGTGATTACAACGCGGCGCATCGGATGATCATCGAATTCTTCCCGTAGGGCTCACTCGTTCTGCGAGTGTAAGCCTACACAGCGTGGTGGTTGATATCACCTTTGGCGTTTTCGTGGATGACATAAATTGAGGACGAGGCTGAGATGCAAGGCTCGGCAATAGCTGGCGCCTCCAAGCTATTTTACAAAATCGAGGTACGGTAAATGAAAGATATAATCCGAGAGCATACTGCTCTACTACCATAGTTATGCTCAAAGATATGCCCAGTCGTGAATAATGACTACGAAATAACCACCCCATTTTCGTCAAAAACTCCGTCGCCATGTGCTTGAGCAAACGCCCCGCGTTCTATCTATCACCGCTGCTTTTCATTTCATTCCACATCCTATCCACGATCTGAAATACCTGCGTGACTCCCTGCATCTTTGCCTCATCGACGCCATGGCCACCCAGCTTTTGCTGAATCTTATCCGGATGCCATCGCACCCTCTCCAACTTGAGCGTCTTCACCAAATCCGCCTGGTCCGGTTTCCCCGCCGTGGGCCCATTCAAGAAAAACGCTTCAACCTCATCCTTCCCCAAATCCTCCATCTTCCCACTCCAAACCGGCCACGGGATAGTCGAAGCACCATCGGTACTACTCCGAAATGCCTCCCATAACTCCAGATACGCAGCCCACTTCTGACCCCACTTCTGCGTCCACCCAGCCTTATCTTTCCTCTCCTTCCCCCTCGCCAAACTCTCCTCGACCTGCCTCTGGAACGTCTCCTCCGCCGCCCTTGCCTGCTCCCTCTTCGCCTGTTCCTTCTTCGCCTTATCCCTCCTCTCCTTCTCCTCAATCAAATGCTGATGCGTCTTCTTGTACATCTCCGCGCGTATATGAGCCGCATACTCATCATCCGTCATCGCCTCCAGCTTCCCCGTCTCAACATCCATCTTCACCGGATCGATCTTCGGAATCGGCTGTCCATACACCCCTTCCCAGAACTGCGCCCCCTCATCGTCCGCCATGGCATCGAAAAGGCTTTCGCGGAACAGCGCATCGGAGTCAAGGTATTCCCCAGATGAGGTATTGGGGAGCTGCGACTCATCGCGCAGGCTCGGCTCGTCCGGAGGCTCGGATCGCTGACGCTTCGAGCGATGGGTACTTTGGAGATGTCTGTGTCTATCTCTATCATGTCCGCGATGATCCGGTTTCCTCTTCGCGGACTTGAATCTGAATCTCGACCGCTGCGTCTTGCCCAGGTCATCCTCATTCTCCTTGCCCTTCTCCTCGGCACCATCGCGAGTCTCAGATCTACCCCGCCTGTCGTCGTCGACATCCATAGGCTCCATGATTGTATCGCGGCTGGCTTGCAGCTCGCCCGTAATTGTTTAGTTGGTGCTCGCACTGCACATCATCGCAAGGGCCTTCGGAGAATGATCCAGTAGGGTGTTGAATTGCGAGTGAAGCTGTTTCCTTGGGGAGCTGTTGTGGAGTCAACGGAAGGGAGGGGTTGTCGGTGTTTCGGTATTCTATCTAGATCCCCCGTCTCTTATCGATAGCACTAGCGTAATGGCCAACTTAATGTCCAGCCAGCCCAGAGCACTGAATGCGACAAGACATCATCAACCTACAATTTTATCACTGAGGAATCTGCAACAACAGAGCCTTCAATCCACCTCCACAATGAGTGGCAATGGCCTTTCTTATGGCCTAAACATCACAAAGAAGGCGAAGCCGATAGGTTTTCGCCCCCCACCCGGGAAGAGGAAACCCATCTTCGACTCTGATGGCGACTCCGGCGACGACGACACCAGCAAAGGCGGCGCCGCCGAAGAAATCGGCGAATTCGGCGGCCTAGACCTCCCTTCCAGCAGCTCCTCCAGCAAGCCCTCCAAACCCTCATCCAAACCCTCCAGCAAACCCAACCCCCTCTCCAACCCCCCCACCGGCGCCAAACCCAAAACCAATACCCCCCAATCCCTCTATGGCGACCTCTCGACCTCCTTCAGCTCCTCCAAACACGCCGCGACAGCCGAATCCATAGATTCAAGCATCTACGACTACGACGCCGTCTACGACTCCCTCAAACCCGTCAAGACCGTCACCGAAGCCGACAAGGAGCGGAAACCAAAATACATGACCTCCCTCCTCGCCGCAGCCGCGGTGCGCAAGCGCGATGCTACGATTGCAGAGGAGCGGAAGCTGGCGAGGGAGAGGGAGGCGGAAGGGGAGGAGTACGCGGATAAGGAGAAGTTCGTGACGGAGGCGTATAAGAAGCAGCAGGCTGCTAATCGTATCGCGGAAGCTGAAGAAAAAGAAAGAGAAGAGAGAGAGGCAAAGGAGAATAAGAATACGGGGTTTACGGGGTTTTATAAGGATTTATTGGAGAAAGATGAGAGGAGGCATGCGGAGATTGTGAAAGCGGCCGAGGAGAGGGGGAAAGCTGGCCCGGAAGCGAAGGTGGAGGAGGAAGAAGGGGGGGAGAAATCGGAGGCCCAGATTGCGAGGGAGATAAATGAGAGGAAAGAAGGTGCCATCGCTGTCAACGACGAGGGGCAGGTAGTTGATAAACGCCAACTCCTCAAAGGCGGCCTCAACATAATCCCCGAAGCCAAGCCAGCCGCGCCCGCGCCCCGCCACAACCGCGACACTCTGGCAGATAGGCGGGGTGCGGCGTTCGTGGGCGCGGGCGGGGGGAAGCAGGCTATGAGAGATAGGCAGACGAGGATGATGGAGGCACAGTTGGAGGAGGCGACGAAGAGGGCGAGGGAGGAGGAGGAGGAGGAGAAAGAGAAGGTGGATAGGGCTAGTAAGAGTCGGAAGACGGAAGGGGAGATTATGGGGGCGAAGGAGAGGTATTTGTTGAGGAAGAAGGAGGCGGAGGAGGCGAGGAGGAGGGAGGCGGAGGGGAAGTGAGGGGAATATGTAAACTATTTGGTTATAAGAACAAGCATTCAGTACATGCATAGCGAAAAGCTCCAGATAGCGAACGCTCCACCCCATTTTACACTAAAAATCACGAATTTTGTAACTTAATATATCAACAACCATTTAGTAATAAATTATAAAAATATTTAATTGGCCTTTTGTAAGCATTTAAAGCAATTGGTCTTATAGTTATTGAGGTATGAGATCTAGGACAAAAGTGGGGGCCAAAACTTAATATCTCTGTAATTACAAGACCAATTGCTTTAAAATTCAAGCAGAGTGCTTTAAATGCTTACAAAGGCCAATTAAATATTTTTATAATAATTTATTACTAAACGGTTGTTGAGATATTAAGTTACAATCCAGCTTAAGCTGGAGCTTTCGCTATGCATGTACGTTATCAGACCGCTATAAAACATAATACAGTAATCACTGCCTATAGCGGACTCGGCCATAGCGGAAACCTCCCAATACCGGACCCCTTCCCACAGAATTCCGGCCAAGATCCTTAACTTCCGGTATAGAAAATGGCACCTCCACCAGCCAAAAAGCCTCGAATCTCAATTACGAATGCACAAAAGCAAGCTTTACGAGCTTGGTACTATGATCCTACAACTCAGAGCACAAAGAAGACATGAGCAGATGCTTCAACTTAATGGAATGATCAATATGGACATACTTTGAGCTCTTCGACTGCAAGTGAAATACTATCCTATACGCCTCTCTCAACACTGCTACTTCTACAAAAGCATTCGATAATACCAAGAAGACAAGGAAACCAAAATGGGAAGTGTTAGAGAAAGCTCTTAGAGAATGGGCTTTATGATTTGATGCTACTTATGGCATTGTTACAGGAGATCTTCTACAGATAAAAGCAACAGAATTTCAAGATACGGCTACCACAATACCATAGACAAGATTGCCCTACATGGAGTGAAGGATGGCTTGAAGGGTTTAAGAAAAGACATAATCTCCACTGCTAAAGAAAAGTTAGAGAGGCAAGCTCTGTGGAAATCATAACAGAACTAACACAGCGGATGGACAACATCCGAGCAGTTAAAGCGAAATACCTACCTTGTGATGTTTACAATATAGATGAGACTGGATTTTACTAGAAAAAATTACCAAACTCAGGATTATCGACTTCGTCACTTGGGAAAAATGTTGACAAAACTCGAATTACAGCTAACCTCTACTGTAATGAAGATGGGAATGACAAAGTTCCAATTTGGTTTATCGGAACTGCTAAACAACCAAGATGTTTTACTTAAAATCATATCTCGAATCCTAAAAACCTTAGAATACATTAGCGATGGAATTCAACAGCATGGATGAATCATTTCATTATGATTGAATGGTTACAATGGTTCGATAGTAGAGCACAACGCCCTGTTCTACTGTTAATGGATAATTTCAGTGCTTATGAAGTTGAAATACAAGTTATGTGGTTTCCTCTAAACATAACGTCAATTTATCAACCACTTGATCAAGGGATTATTCAAAATTGGAAGTGCTATGTACGAAAGCAATTGATTATATTCTTACAAAAGGAGTTAGATGCAAACCGCGATTACAAAAAAACTCACCATGTTCTCCATACAATTCAATGGGGAATTTCTGCATAGGAAACAATTCAACCATTGACAATTATCAACTGTTAGAAGAAGGGGTTTATGATTTCTACAGAACGTAGTTTATATAACCTATAGGAAGCATCTCATGAAGTTTTACAAGAGATTCAAACAAGTATGAGTACATTAGCTGAAGAGCAAAGGGTTCATAGGTATAGGGTCAGGGTTGTAGGGGCGTCATGTGATATGGGTATGTACTGTAACTACTTCATGTAACGGAAACTCTATATAAGTTACCGGAAGGCAAACCTCGAACCGACCCATCCGTTATAGGCAGTGATTACTGTACTACTATTTTGATCATGTAGACTATTCTCTCAGATATTCAACCCTATAGTTGACAAAAACATGCATCCCTAATCCCTGGTATCACCACATTTCCACAAAGTTACACACAAAAGCGGCTCACGTCATTAAAACCATTCGCTATGGTAATACTACCTCTCGCTGAAACATCCTAAAAAAAAACGTTATCCTGTACCCCCACGCCATCATTCAACTTTTCGTAAAACATGCAATGCTCTCTTTCCCTCCTCCCCCTTCCTCTCCCCCATAACGCCCACTTAACCCCTTTCCCCCCACCCCCCCCCCAACCCCCCCCAACCCCCCCCCAACCCCCCCCACAACCCCCCCCCCATCAACTTCCCCAAAGCGCCCCTACTGCGCCGTCAAAGCATTACTCATCGCCAGCACACTCATCCCCAAAAACGCACACCCAATACACAGCTCCTTCCTATGACACATCCCCAACCCCTCCACAAAAAGCTGCAGAGCAACACTCGTCATAATCCCCGCCGTAACCGCAAACATGCATCCATACACCGCAAACCCGGGCCCTCCTACCCCTCCTTGACCGCGGTCCTCGTGCCTGGCGAGTTTAAACCACAACGCCGCAATCCCCGCACCCAAGGGCTGACTCACGCCGCCGAGGATGGAACTCCAACACATAGCCTTCGCGCGCGAGCCGAGCGCGAGGTAGAGGGGGAGTGCCATGGCGAAACCTTCGGTGATGTTATGTGTGAATAGCGCCATGAAGACAGAGAAGCCCAGGGCGGGGGAAGCGTGGTTCGTGGCGTATGTGATGAAGCCCTCGGGGAGCTTGTGCAGGGCTATCGCGATACTGGTTTGGAGACCGATATTCAGGAATGCGTTTTCAGGCACGTGGTGGTGATGTGCTGCTTCTTGCTCGGCTTCGTCGTCGTCGTCGGAGTCGGTAAGGCACGCGCCGTCGAGGCCGTGGTTGTGGCCGTGCACGGAACCGCTGGAGACGTGGCGTTCTTCGGTTGTTTGAGACTCGATGTCCTCCCCTTCGTGTCGGCGGAGAGAACGCACGCGCCGCAGCGTCGGGGGACGAGAGTGCGACTGGCTCCGCATATCGAGGAATTGCTTAAAGCATTCTTGCCCACACGGTTCGGAGTACCCGAAGCAAGGCCCCAATTCATCGCAATTAGCCTTGTCATCGCGCACGAACGACATGACGCGGTTCTGGACCTGCACCATGGACGAGCGCCGCGAGGACTCGGTGGGCGTTTGTTGGTTGGAGGTGGGTTGGGAGGGCGCGAGAGAGGGGCCGCCATTGGTAGAGAAGGCGTGACCCGGTCTGGCGCGGACGGAGGCGCCGCTTAGGAGGGGAGTCGATTCAGTGCCCTTGGCCACGCCAAGTGTCGGGGATCGTGGTGGACCGTGGGAGTGCTGACGACTGCGGGAATGACGGACGTGGGGGTGGGGGTGTGCGTGTTTTCGCGCGGGCTGACGATGGCCAGCCCGCGGTTTTGCGGTGTCGTCGTGGTGGTGGTCGCAGTCGACGACTTGGGAGGGGATGTAGTGGTGGAGGAAGCGGGAGACGATTTGGATGCCGATGAATCCGAGGATGAAGAACGCCAGAAGCAGCCAGGACGCCTTTGCAGGTGACATCTCGGCTTTTTCCAAGTACTTCCTTGATGATGGCAGCATGCTGTATAGCGCGGAGAAGATCTAACAGCGTTAGCACGGTTTAAAGTCGTTGCTTGGGGAGCTCTTACCATGACGCCAAAGCTCAGACTCATCGAGCATGCCAGAAAGAGACTGCTGTCATGTATGCTGAAGTCCTTCCATCTTGGTACGCGGCGCAGAAGAAGGTCAATGCAGATGATACTTGAGCCGACAACGCAGGCTGGGTGAATTGTTAGCCATCCATACCATGTCTGGCAGGAGAAAAGGAGGGTGTTGCATACCTATGCCGCTGGCAATGGTCATAATCCATCCCCGGACATCATTGTCCAGTGGGGTCCGCATCGTGCCGCCTACACTCCCCTCAAGCGCAATGCTTCAGCTGCGAACTCGAAACGCGTATCAAGCCGTGCCGAGCGTATTTTCCACGATTCCAACGAATGCTGAGAGTGGGTTTGGGAGGCGGCGGATGTGGCGGACGTGACGGACGTGACGGACGTGGGCGCGCGTCTATACTTTTGACGGCGGTGGCGAGTTCTGATATCTCGTCTTCGAAGCGTAATAGAAGAATTTATATACTTGTCTATCGGTGTTGGTAAAACAACAAAGCCGCCGACGCAGACTCCCTTCGGTGTGACAAATAGACCAATGCGGTCTCTCAATGCGGTCTTTCCCTGCAGGCTACCCCTCAAGGTGTCAGGGTGGTGTCTTTGTTTTATGATTACTCGTACAGCACAGAGCCGACGTAGAGCAGTTGAAGGAGGCAAGTGATGAGAGTGAGACAGGGAGCACAGGATGAGGGTAGGCACATACACTGGATACAGAGGATACCGAGCAGACAATATAGACAAATACAGACAATGAAAAAGATGCAGTGTAAGCAAGAGTGGGTGAGCATAGAAATTCCAGATTGGTCTCTGGCCGCATTGGTAGGCTCTACCCAGCTGACTAGTGTGAACCAATGCTAATGTTGTTGCCGGTCATAAGGTTACTTCTTAGTTTTTAAGTGGTTGGTTAGAGGAGGTTAGGGGTCGTTAAAGAAGGTTAGTGGAGGTTAGCGGTTGGTTAGTGGTTGGTTAGTTAGTGGTTAGGGTCTTTAAAGAAGGTTAGTGGTTAGGGTCTTTAAAGAAGGTTAGTGGAGGTTAGTGGTTTAAAAAAGGTTAGTGGTTGGTTAGTGGTTGGTTAGTGGTTGGTTAGTGGTTGGTTAGTGGTTGGTTAGTGGTTGGTGAGTGGTTGGTGAGTGGTTGGTTAGAGAAGGTTAGTGGTCGTTAAAGAAGGTTAGTGGGTTCTGCATGAGTTGACGGTCACGTGCTAGTACGCCTACAGCACGCTACTCGTACTTTGCATTAATAAATGTATGTAAAAGGGTGATGATCGTTGCTACCTCCCTGTAGTAGAGTAGTCCAATAAAAACCCGAGTAATGTTATGCTGCTTTACCACTCGTACGTACGTGAGCTGACGCGTTATATAGATTATTATTTCTCGCAACTTGTCAAAACAGCGGAGAGGTGGAACTAGGTGCATGGGTCGGTCTCATGTTGACAATTATTAGGTGGTAGGTAGGTGTGTGTGGTGGTAGGTAGGTGTGTGTGGTGGTAGGTGTGTGTGGTGGTAGGTGTGGTGGTAGGTGTGGTGGGTGGTGTGGTGGGTGTGGTGGGTGTGGTGGGTGGTGTGGTGGGTGGTAGGTGTGGGGTAGGTGTGGTGGTAGGTATGGTAGGTAGGGTGTTAGGGGGGTAGGTGGGTGGTGGTAGGGCGGTAGGGACTGTGGGTGGTGGTAGGGTATTAGGGTGGTAGCGTGTTATGGGGCAGGTGGTAGGTGGGTGGGTGGTAGCGGGGTTAGGGTGGTAGGGTGGGTAGGTGGTAGGGGTAGGTGGTAGGGGTAGGTGGTAGGGTGTAGGGGCTGTGGGTATTAGGGTGGTAGGCTGTAGGGGCTGTGGGTGTTAGGGTGGTAGGCTGTAGGGGCTGTGGGGTAGGGGGTGACGTAGCTGGGGTCCTCCACTAAATAAAATTCGGTAAATGAAAATTATACCCTGTAATTTGACCGTAATGAAAGTTCTACCCTGTTATGATTAATAACCCACCACCTGATGCTCACCGTCCCCCACAGCCCAGCCCACAGCCCACAGCCCACAGCCCACAGCCCACAGCCCACAGCCCACAGCCCACAGCCCACAGCCCACAGCCCAGCCCACAGCCCAGCCCACAGCAGCCCACAGCCCACAGCCCACAGCCCACAGCCCACAGCCCACAGCCCACAGCCCACAGCCCACAGCCCACAGCCCACAGCCCACAGCCCACCTCCCTTAAACCTCTCTAATGCCTCCATCACATATGAGGCCAGCGGCAGCTCCTAGCGTTGTGGTTTGAGCGGTGTGGTTTGAGCGGTGTGGTTTGAGCGGTGTGGTTTGAACGTTGTGGTTTGAGCGTTGTGGTTTAGGTGGCTTGACGAAGCCATCTTATGCCACAATGAGAGCGGCGGCTGGCGAATCAGCAGGACGAGGCTACACTAGCAAGGCGAGGGAGGTAGCAGTCACGTGAGTGTCGTACAATTATCACTTTCGCAATTATATTAACTTATCACTTTCGAAGAGCTGGCGGTAAGCGTCACGTGATGGCCTATGAATCATTTGCCGAATAAAAAAAGTTCACGCGCGTCTACCGACCCTGTACTAAAACCCTCAACTTAAGCCTGACCCTGCATTTGATCACCCGCCCGCGACACCAGCCTGAGCATCGACGACCACACATAAGAACAGCCAGCCAGAAGCCAGCGCGTGCCTGTGTGTCGTGTCTCTGTGGCGCGCCCAACCTTCGACGACACGACAACAATCTGTCTACCTGACTGACTATCTGGCCGACGTGACTGCCTCTTCCTCTCCCTCTCATATATATACAGCACCCCCCCTGCTATTCCCCTCGCCCTCGCCCTCTTTCAAGATGTCAAAAACAACATTCGCAATCATAGCTGCCGTCAGCGCTGCCACCGGAGCCGCCGTCACAGCAGCGAGCATGTCCCTCGCAACCCCAGCCGATAAGAAAACCAAACCAACCCCCCCGGTGCTGTCAACTCCTCCCTCTCCCTCCGTAACACTCCCAGCACCCGTCCCCTTCCCCGGAGCCCTCGCCATTACCGCCCCCGTCGACCCAGCAGGGCTCTTCCAATACGGCTTCCCCGGCCCCGTCGCCGACCTCGCGACCCGCAACTCCCTCGTCTCCTCCTTCGACCGCCGCACCAAGAATCCCTTCTGGGTAGCTGAGCACATCACGCCCGCCTCCCTCGCGACGCGGGAGGGCGACCGCAAATCCTCCGTCTTCCTCGAGGACCCCGACGTCCCCGAGAAGTTCCGCGGGAAGTTGAAGGACTACTTCCGCTCCGGGTATGATCGCGGTCACCAGGTGCCGGCGGCGGATGCGAAGTGGTCCCAGGAGGCGGTGAATGATACTTTCTACCTCACGAACATGTGTCCGCAGGTCGGTGAGGGGTTTAACCGGGACTACTGGGCGCATTTTGAGGATTTCTGTCGTCGTCTTACGACGCGCTATCCGTCTGTGCGCGTCGTTACGGGGCCGCTTTACCTCCCGAAACGCGATGCGGACGGGAAATGGCGCGTCTCTTACGAGGTCATCGGGAACCCACCTAATATCGCCGTTCCCACGCATTTCTACAAGGTGATTTTCGCCGAGGACGGCAGAGTAGGAGGCCAAGTCGCGATCGGTGCATTCGTGCTCCCTAACGCGAGGATTCCCAATGACAAGCCCCTGGCTGAGTTTGAAGTCCCTGTGGAAGCGGTGGAGCGCGCGAGTGGGCTGGAGTTTGCGACGAAGTTGCCGGTGCAGAGGAGGAAGAGACTGTGTGTTGATACGCCGTGCTCGTTGGTTATTAAGGAGTATGCGCAGAGACAGCAGGCGTTTGTGAAGGAGGAGAGGAAGCAGGTTTCTGCGCCTGGGTCGCCGAGGAATTAATTGGATGATACTATTGGTACAGGAGTGGTTTGCGTGGCGCGGCGTTGTTCAGACAGGAATACAGACAGACTGACGACTGGATGATTTCCCAGTTTGGTTGAGGGGAGGTCTTTTGCGCATTGTATAGCAGGGAGGGCGTATTTTGCATCATACACACTTGCTAGAACCTACGCTTTCAGAAGCCTATTTTCTTCTCTTATTATCATGTACACTCTAGATTAGAAATAACCCTTATATACCAATACAGCGCTTTAAAGTTAAATTTACAGGCATCTCTCTCTTTCCCAACTCTTTTCTTCATTTCTTCATTTCTTCCTTTCTTCCTTTCAACCTCTCTTCAGATCTCTCTCTCTTTCCCTGGCTTCTTTGGGCGGCGATGTTTTTTTTTTGGCGCAGAGCCGCATAGCAAGCACGTTGCGTTCCTGCATGACTCAACGCGCCACGATCTGCAAACTCACCAGGTCAGGGGGCTGGCCTTGGGCCCATCACCCAGGCTTCCAAACCCGTGACCTCCCACCACTCACCACCCTCCCATCCCGTGACCATCTATAAAATACCCTCTCCCACCCCTCCCAAACCTACAACCTCCCCTCCCTCCCCTGCAACGCACCACTCATCATCGCCTCCTCCCTCCTCCCTCCCCCCCTCCCCATCACCATCTCCCGCCCCCCCCTCGTACACCACCACTCCACACACACCCCCCCCTCTCAACATCCATCTCCCCTCCCTCCAACGCCTCCCAAAACCGTTCTTGACACACCCTCCTCATCCCCCCCTCCTCCGCCACCCCCCTAACCGCGCCAGCAGCAAGCGGTAACCACTCCCTCAACGCATGCGGCGCCAGGGAACTCAACGCATCCAGCAGCGCGAGGGTCAGGGCAGCTTGTTCCGTCAGTGGGGTTTCAGCGGCGGCCACCCCATCCGGTCCTGCTTCGGCTGGGGGGCTTTGCGGTAGGAGCGCTGTCGATGCGTGTAAAGCGCGGAAGCGGAGGAGTTCGAGGAGCGTATCTGGTAAATCTGGATGCGACGCCGCGAGCGGGTTCGGGGGCGTAGTAACCTCTAGTAGACTCTTAAACGCCAGTCTGAACTGGCGCGCTGAAAGGTTCGAGGGGAAGGATGCGAGGAGGGCGGTTGCGTAGGGGGGGATTGCGGATGCGGCGAGCGCGGCGTTGGGGGGGCGGTGAGGACCGAGAGGGTGAGGGAGTGTGCTGCTTCAAAGAGGGGGAGGAGGGGGGGGGAGGGGGTGCTGGCGAGGTAGGGTGTGCATGCTTGTAGCAGCGCGGCGTTGGAGGCGGGGGAGAGGATGAGGGGGAAGTGCTCGGCGGTGTTGAGGTAGTAGAGGTCTAGATTCCGGTCTAGTGGGTGTGCGGGGATAGTGCCGGGGTGCGAGGGCCGGATGGATTCGAGGAAGGTTGTGGAGTGGCGCGGATAGCGCGCGAGGATGTCGATGGAGGTTAGGGAGACGAAGGTGTAGGCGGTGAAGGAGGCGGTGCCGAGGCGCGAGCTGATGAAGTAGAGGGAGCGGAGGGTGTGGAGGGCGGAGGAGGAGAGGGAGGCGGCGTGGGCGTCTGTTGCGAGGAGGGGGTCGATGAGGACGCGGCCGAGGACGGAGCGGAGGATCACGACGGTGGCGAACATGGCGGATTTGAGGAGCTGGAAGAGCGTAGGGAAGGTGGTTTGGGAGGTGGTGGGGGTGAGGTGGGTTGAGAGGTCGCCGGGGTCGATGGTGGAGAGTTTGTTGTGCCGCCATTGGAGGAGGAGTTCGTGGGAGAACTTTTGGAGTTGCTCGACCAGGTGGAGGATGTTGGGCTTGGGCGATTGGAGGTGCTCGACTGTGTATGCGACGAGTCGAGAGAATGGGCCCATGGATGAGACGAGAGGTCTGGAAGAGACATCCTTTAGATGCATGAACCCGCGCGAGGACGGCGACCAGTCTAGCTTCTTGTCCGGCGTAACACACACATCGGCATCGATGGCACCCACAAACTGCCCCATCTCGTACCCCGACGGTCCCACCATCGCTCCGACAGCAATGGGCAACAGGAGGTCAAACCTGATCTCCCTCTTCGCCTGCTCGGACAGCAAATCAAACGTATGATTCAGCGCCAACAGCGTCGCCTCCCCCCCCACAAAGAACCCCTCCTTCGGATCCTCCATCGCCAAATTCGCAGCCATTATCAGCGCTCCCTCCAGCGACATCCTCAATCCCCTCGACAACCCCCGCCTCCCCTGTCCCCCCATCCCTAGTAGCACTCCCGCAATCGCAAGAACATGTCTCCACCGCGGCGACTTATCATCCGCCCCCTTCACCACCGCCGTCGCCCACTCATCTGGCCCTAACCCACCGCCACGCCTTGGATAGCCCAGTAGATTCGAGTCATTGGACTGCGCCTGCTTCAGCACTGTGATCGCGGCGGTGTTGTATATGCTTATGATGCGCAGACACGTCTGCAGGTCCAGCGCATGCGTTGCCCATATCGCGGGCGCGGCGAGCAGTTGCGAGGTCAGGAGCGTGATGTTAAGCGGGTTCGTGAGCGTGGTGAGGAGGGAGGTTGTGGAGCCGAGGATCTTGCTGGTGAGTTCGGGATCGGGGAGTTTTTGGTACGCCCCGAGGACGGTCGTGAGCATGCGATCTGAAGACATCGTGGCGCATCGATTGTGGTTGTGTTGTGTGAAGACCGGCTGGGTTTTGGATGGAAGAGTTTGGAATGTGGGTAGATGGTAGACGGTTGACGGATCTAATCAGCCGAGGCTCAGCAGCCTTCCCTGTCAACCCATGCAGGTGCGGCCGGCCGCCGTAGAACATGACGCGCCGATCAGAGAGCTTGGAATAAATCGCAACTATCAAATTCAACGACTAATTACGACAACGTGAAGCTGCAGATTACGCTGCTTTCTCGACCGGGACACGTAATGTAGGGGACGATGTCGGGGGTAAAGTGAGAAAGCCCAACAACCCATCCATCGAATTCGCAGGACAGCCGTCGCTAACAATTTACTCTGTCTCCCAGAACTCGCATCTCAGACCCTGCGCCCCTCGACTATGAAACTCCTCCCTTCCCATCGCTGTACTGGCCATTGAATGCGAGGCCCGGAGTTGCCAGCTACCTCTATTACACCAAAGACATCTGGCGCTTCACCCTCATCTGGACGCTCATCTTCTACGCCGCATTCCACATCGCAACCGCTGCGCTCGCGGTGTGCATGCAAGTAGGGAAAGGTAAAAGCGCGTTTAAATGGGTCTGGAGTATCCCGATCGCATATGCTGTTATTGCGGGGATTGAAGCTATGCTTGCTGGGAGCATTGTGGGTTTGATGTATGTCCCCCACGGCTTCTGTCTGGTGCTTACTTTGGCTAACAAAGGTCAAGATTGGGCGCGGTTTACGATGCAGGATACTTCCGCATGTCGACATGGATACCCTTCGTATGGTCTCTGATCAATGTCTTGGTATTGATTCTATCCGCCTTCTCTATTCAAGGCGCTCTATGATCTATCTATACCCCTCAAGCTCGACTACATCATCTCAGCTACTCGCCGCTTCCGTCCCCTCCCTCAGTGCTTGCCAACCTTGGATCCGGAGCCTTGACTTCAATCCTTTTGAGAACTCTCGCTGGGTTCCCCGCAACGACAACGAAGTCAGGCACATCCTTAGTGACCACGCTCCCAGCGCCGATGGTGACCCCCCTACCAATAGTGATACCACCAAGAACTGTCACATTACCGCCGAACCAGCAGTCTTCCCCAACAGTAATCGGCGCCCCCAACTCAGGACCCCGAGTCCCATTCCGCAGAAACGGATCTAACGGATGGGATGCAGCGAAGAAGGAGCAGTTTGGTCCGATGAGAGTACGTGATCCGATGGTGATGGTGCACGTGTCCAGGAAGGTGCAGTTGAAGTTGATATAGACGCCCTTTCCAATTCTGGGCAAATATATGTGTTAGTGGGTGCTCTGAGAGGGGAGGAAAGGGGAGGTGCACTTCGTATTGGTGCCATAGTCGACTTTGATGGGACCATCTACCCATGCATCGCCGTTGAAGAGCTTATCATCCTCCTCTTGCGTAGGAGCTTTGGCGGGGAGGGGGGTTTTATCGCCAAGGATACTAGAAAATGGGTTAATACAGACACGTCACCACCCACCCCCATCTGAACTGTCTGAACTGGAATAGAATAATATGAATAAAGCCCAAGCCTACTCTCTCCACAGCTCTACCAAACGGCGTCGGTCAACCTCCCCAGCACTGTTGAAGCGATCGCAGGCGTGGTGGCAGCGCATCCGTGACGCCGTGAGACGAGGGGTAAATGCGTAGTAGAGCTCTCCGCGTAACATGTTGGCTAGATTCTCATCTTCATTAAGATTCTCCATTGTTGTTGAAGAGCAAAAAGGACGGCTGGTAGAGAGGGACAATGCTGCTTCTGGAATGTAAAAAGATATCTATCAGACTGTATATGTGATATTGTATGGATTTATGATTTGTGATATAACCATCGGAGGCGGATCGATAGTCAAGTCAGTAACTTCCGGAATTACACGCGCGAGTTACTTACTAGCTTGGTGCGATATTGTCTCATCCTTGGCTCAGCCTCGCCATTGTCCTACAACCCCTCGATCCCAAACCTCAACAACACCCAGCTCGCTCGGACGAGTTGAGCTGCTCCTCCTCACTATATAACACTGCTCGTCCAACGGGACAAAGAAGCATGTCCACCTGAAATACCCCAAGATCGACCCCAATCCAGTCCTCTCCATGCACAACCTCACCATCTCCTCACCCCCACAGCCTCGCAACACCACAAACACCCTCAAAATGGCAACTCGAGTCAACGGCGCCGTCAACGGGTCCTCCGCCGTCCCCAACGGCGTCCCCCAGCGCGAACCCACAATCCCCATCCTCCCCTCATCCCCCTCCTCTACCAGCACCAACTCACTCGCCCAAATCTCCCACGGCGGCCTCGGCCACCCCCCCTCCTTCTCCTCCCTATCCCCCACCCCCCCGTCCCTCACCGCATACGAGAAGCAATACTACCCCTCCCAACCCATCTCCCTCTCCGGCATCGCCTCCCGCGCCTTCCTGCTGGGCGCCCTGCTCTCCTTTTCCACCGCCCTCTCTCTCGTCCTCGCCCTACAGGGTTCGCCATTCTGGCGCCCACCGTTTTTTGCCGCGACGCTGGCGGTGTTCCATTTCTGCGAGTTTTGGACGACGGCGAGGTATAATACGAAGGCAGTGCAGGTGTCAAGTTTTTTGCTGAATCAGAATGGGAGTGCGTATACTATTGCGCATGCGGCGGCGTTGGCGGAGTCGACGGTTTCGTGTTTGCTCGCTGTGTATCCGCCGTCGACTTTTCTTCCGGGTTTTATGACGGCTTGGGCACTTCCTGCGCTCCCGGAGTGGGTGGGAACACTCACCCTTGCAACAGGGCTTGTTCTCGTTCCTCTCGGGCAGCTCGTGCGCAGCCTCGCTATGGTACAGGCGGGTGGGAATTTCAACCACATTGTCCAAGCGCGAAAATCCTCCTCTCACCAGCTCGTTACCTCGGGGGTATACAGTCTCTCTCGGCATCCGAGCTACTTCGGCTTCTTCTGGTGGGGATTGGGCACGCAGCTTGTGCTGGGGAATGTGGTCTGTTTTGTGGGGTATGCCGTGGTGTTGTGGGTGTTTTTTAAGAGGAGAATTGCTGGTTAGTTGCTCTTATTTCCTTCTTTCTGTCCCCCTCCCATTTCCCTTCCATTTATAGATGTGTGTGTGAAGATGAGATTGGAGAGGTGCTAATTCCGTAACAGGAGAAGAGGAATATCTAGTCCGATTCTTTGGCCAGGAGTACTTCGACTACCGCATCCGCACCGCCGTCTGGATCCCCTTCATACGATGACAGGTCACGCCTCGGCCTGCCAGGCAGCGAGCATTCCTGGACCTGGGATTCTAACCGCAGCAGCGGGCGTGTTTTCTGGTTTTAAAGGGGGGGGGTGCTCATACAGCGTTTTGGGTATGCGGGTGTTGTTTTTGGAGGGGTGGAAGGGGGAAGCTTAAGGGGACGTTGTCTTGATAGTATGCTGTATAACTCGCATATAAGAGCCCATTAATACAAATAATTTCTCATTCACATCCGCTTCCATGAAGAACAAAGCTTGCCTTTGCCTGCATAGACATATACATCACAGCGATAGACACACACATCAACATATATGCTTTTCTGTCCATTCTGATTCCGTTTCGTCATGCATAATTGCGCCCGCCTGGTATACAAAGCCAGCTCCCGCCTCCAAAGAACCAAAAAAATATAGCAGCAAAAAGACTGTGTAGACTGTGTTTTCCTCCTCCTCTCCCACCAGCACCAGCACCAGCACCAGCACCAGCACCAGCACCAGCACCACATATCACCCCCCCTCCCCTTTGTGCAAACCCACCCCCTCCCATCACCCCTCTAAAAGCGATGAATCCTCTTATTCTGCGTCCTCCACGCCGTGTAACCCACATACCCGCCCCCCACCACCGCAAAGAAAGCAAACACCTTGAAGAAGAACCACCCCCACCCCCCACCCCCACTCTTCTTACTCACGCTCCCTAACTTCCCCTTATCCTTCTTTCCCAACTGTTCCTTCTGCGGCAGCGACGACGATGCGCCCACCGTATACAGATTCTTCGTCGTCACGCTCACGATATCGTGGTTATCGCTCAGCTCCCCCGTCTCAGCACTGAACCCCAGGTACGCGACAGAGGGCAGCATCGGGGGCTCCGTCTTCTCGAAACAGAGGATCCATTCATCCTCCGCCTTGTACTGGAGGTCCAGGCGCAGTAACTTATCCTGGAAGTACTTCAGCCTCGCCTTGGTGGGGACCGAGGCGCCGCGAATTCCCCGAGCTGAGCAGCCGGCGTATTCGTTGGATTTGCCGTCGTGGGCTTTGTCGTAGGGAGTGGTGCCGTCGCCGATCATGGCCATGACGTAGGGAAAGATGGTGCCGGGGCGGTTGTTCTTGTAGGTGTCGATGAAGATTCCGAGGCCTTCGAAGTTGTCGGTTGAGCCGAAGACGGGGCCGGGGGTGATGCGTTGGCGGGTCAGCCACATGGCCATGCCGTCGCCGTGGAGGTTGCCGGCGCCGTCGATGGTGAATTCGAATTCGATCTAAGGCGGGGTGTTAGAGGGGGGTTGTGGTGTGACGAGGTGGAGGGGGAGCTGAGTAGAACATACCTCCCAGTTCGTGGCGGTTAGGGGAACGCGCGACCAGATCCAGCCTTCCCTCGAGGGACGATCCGAAGTCAATCGCACATATCTATCTCCAAATCAGCATACTGACACTCCACATGCCACCATTCCCATCATCCTATCCCCAGCGCAGAGAAGTAAGGCCACGTACTTATCAGTCCGTATAATCGTATCCCCTCCAAAATCCCACCACCGACTCTGCATATCGGTGTCCAGGTACGGCTGCGCAGCGTTAGTTCCCTCATCCCTCCCACCAATCGCTCATCTCCAAAAACGTACCGCGTTCAGTGAATGCGTGCGAAGCTATCGAAAGGTGTCAGTTACAGCTGTCTCAAGCTAGTTTCTAGCTAGATAGATGGGATGCCACATACCGGAATCGACCGCACCTCCCCCAGCGGCTCAGCAGGCGTCGTCTTCTCGCCCATGACGCAGGCAGCAAGCCATGCCGCAGCGAGCGACGTCGAGAACCTCATGACGCTTTCGCCGTCTCAGCAGCCTAGGTTCCGCTCGTGTCACAAAAGAAAGTCTAATAAAAACAAGAAAACAGCCCTGAGCGCAGACAAATGCCAATGAATTGGTCGATCGCAGACCGACTCGAGGAAAATGTACTGGCGTGACGTGGGGGGTGAGTAAAGTGATTTCTGATATTCGGGGTAAGCTCACCGAACAAGCTATATGACGCTTTCTTCCCACGCGATACCTGGCCTCTCTGATCTGAGAGTTGGGTCTAGGGTCGGCGGTTGGCGGTTGGCGGTTGGCGTGGGTTGCGGGCGCACTGACCGCGGCTACGCATCATTGGTATGGAAACAATTCTTTTGGCTCGCTCCAGGCTGGGATTGATGTGTGTACCTGTTTAGATATCTACAAACACACAGTTACTACAGCTTCAACGATTACTACGAACCCAACTTAGACTTCAATTACGTCTAATACTATAATTACACCCGTAATACACATTCATTCATCATGTCAATCGATAACGTCGGAGCCTCGCTGGGTATCTCGGGCTCAGACCCGAAGACGGCGTTGATGAACCAAGTTCGTCAAGAAGCCGCATTGAACAACGCCAGGCAGCTGATTGAGGTATGTCCATTTCCATTCCCTCCCTCTCCTCCCTCCCTCCCCTCATCCCATCCTCCTCCCCCAATCCCCAATCCCCAACCTCCCCCGGGAACACAGCTAACCCAACCCCCCCAACCAGAAACTCAACGAACACTGCTTCGCCAAATGCATCCCCAAGCCCGGCTCCTCCTTCAGCAGCGGCGAGCAGCAGTGCTTCACACAGTGCATGGAGAAATACATGTCAGCCTGGAACACGGTTAGCCAGCAGTATATCGCGCGGGTGCAGCAGGAGGGCGCGAGGGGGGCTGGTGGGGGGGGGTGTTTTAGATGGGGGTTTTGTGCCCTGGGGGATTGAATGGGGGCGAGGAACGATGGGGAGTGTATTATTACCAAACGATTGATGGGTGTATGATTGAGAGGGGGAGGGGGGCAGGGTGTTGTACAATATGATGGCAGATGGGGGACGGAGGCAGATACACTAGATGTGTGTGAAAATCTCCAGATACAAGAAAGGGTGGGATCAATAGATTGATTGTAACGCCATGGTATCTAACGCCGCAGATGTGATGTACATAATAACAGCACCATTGCCTGTATTCCTACCCACTGGTGTTTGCCAGCCCACCACACTTTTCCCCTCAACCTAACACTTTCCAACTAGCAACCTATATTCATACACCCCACCCAAAACTATCTAGCACGCGTATACTTCCCCTTCCTCTGCTCCATCTGCAAACTCTCCTGCTGACTCGGCAACGGCCCCCGCTTCCTCACACCCGCACCCGCCTCCTCAGCACTCTGGGCCGCAAAACCCGGTATCGGCGGCGGTGCGTTTCCCAGCCCAGGAGGAAGTCCCGGCATACCTGCCATCCCCGGTGGAGGCGGTGGGAATCCAGGCGGGAGTGTGAATCCCGGTGGTAACAAACCGGGTGGAAGGATTCCGGGAGGGGGAGGTGGGAATTGCCCACCCTGTCCTGGGGGAGGTGGAGGTGGAATACCGGCTTTCTTCATCATAGCTGTGAGTGTAGCGAGATCGGGGGGGTTATTCGGGTCCATCGGCGGGGGCGGTGGGAGGTTGCCGCTTAGTCCCGGTAGACCAGAGAGGTTAAATGGTAGCTGGGGAGGAGGCGCGACGGCGCCCATGCCGGGGATCATGGGTTGGGATCCGGGAAGTGGTAGGCCGGGAATACCTGGGAGTCCAGGGATCTTCGCGGGCATCTTCTGATCCTCTAGTCCGTCCATCTCATCTTCCATCTCCTGTTCCTCGTCCTCCTGGCGCTTCTGCCTCCAGTGCCTGCGATCCCACGTCCCCTCCGCCTCAGCAGCCGCTTCGCCGATATGGTAACGGTCTTTGAAGACTGTAGAGTCGCCGGGGCGCGCGCGCGTCCAGAAGCGTGTGAGGCGGTCGTTGGAGCCGGAGGCGAGGATGTGGCCGAGCGGGTGCCAGTCGAGGGACCAGATGGCGAAGTCGTGGGCGAAGGGGATTTTGTGGGCGGGGTGGATGGTTTGCGAGGGGGCTGTGGCGGGGTCGGGACTGTCGCAGACGGCGGTGGATGGCATGGTGCCGGCGGGTGTATGGGGTTCATCGAGGAGGTAATGGAAGAGGGAGCCGTCGGAGCCGCCGGTGCTTAGAAGGTTGGAGTGGATTGGATGCCAGGTTATGGTTGAGATGTCTTTTTCGTGGCCTTTGAGGAGACAGATGTCGCGCATCATTCTTAGGTCGAAGACGCGTGCTGTTTGGTCTCGTGCGGAGGTGGCGAGACATAATCCACGCACCCGTTCGAATAGGGTCTTGGTGATGGTGTTCTTGTGGCCGTGTAGGGTGGTTAGGCAGCGGCTTGTTCGAGGATCCCATAGCTTCACTAAATGATCTTTGGACCCCGAGACGATCAGGCCCTTAGTTGGGTGCCAGTCGACGCTCTTGGCGTCCCATCCGTGGCCCGTAATTGTCGATTCTTCAACTCCCCCTGCAAAATCGAAGATCTTAAGAGTTGAGTCGTCTGAAGCCGTGACAAACTTGGAATCGTTGGGGCTGAACGCCATATCTCTGATGGGGTCGCCGTGGCCCTGGATAACTTTGACATTGTTGAAGTTGGGCTGCCAGTATTTGATGATACCGTCGTGGTCTGCCGAGATCAGCCAGTCGCCGTTGTGTGAGTACGAAAGCGCTCTGATGGCAACATCGTGAGCCTGTTGGATGGTCTCGAAGTTGAAGCCCGTGCCGTTCCATAGCGTGAATTCACCGCTACTGGATGCTGTCAACAGCCTGCGGCCTTCCGGCGTCCAGCGCACAACGTTCACTGGATGCTTGATTTTGTTAAGGGAAGAATGTAAATGATGAGCGGGTATGGTATCAGCAGCCTTGTCTATCCTGGCAAGGGGAGGAAGCATCTGAGACAGGAATTAGCATGTGTCAGGTGTCTAGACAACGGATTGTTGATGCAACGGGTACTCACATCGACGATGTAGCTGGGACTCGGCCTCTCCATCTCTCCTTGGAGGCGTGCCTTGTAGCGCGGCTGGCGATTCTGCATCCAATGGACCATCGTCGCGCCGTAGTCTGTGACGGGGCCTGGGTTGCTTTGTTAGTTTGATGTTGATGGTAACAGAGGAAGACCTGCGACGTAGAGAGTAGACACAAGTCTGAAGCAAAACTCGATGCCCTCGAGGAAGATGTGCGCATAGTCAAGGACAAAAGATGGCAGCATGCAGGTACGGCGCATGGATGAGAACCGAAAAGGAAGGCATATAGATGGTTGAATTGAGAATCGCTGGTAACTCACGTCGTCCACGTCCTCTCCCAAAGCCACCAGCTTCATAGCCACCACCTCCTTCACCTCCACCGCCTCCGCCTCCGCCTCTCCCTCCTCCTCCTCCTCCTCCTCCTCCTCCTCCTCCTCCTCCTCCTCCTCCTCCTCCTCCTCCTCCTCCGCCAGTTCCATAGTCACGCTCCCCACGCTGTTCGTAAGCCATGGTGATTTAAGTCGTCGTCGTGGTTACTACCGCATGGCTGGCCAGAACGGAGCTTCTCTATCCTCTGATTCACGCTCCTCGGACGAAGCTGGCCTGTTTGAAGTAGTCGATTCCCTTTGACGCAATCTATATATATATAGTTTATGGCTGTCGAGGTCGTTCGAGACAAGGCCGGAACGGAACAACATACCAGCGGAGACGACAAGGTATAGCGGAAGTACCTGTGTCGGGAGTTACTAAATTATACAATTTTCACACGTTGGACAAGCTACAAAAAGGTAATGCCAAGGTATCGCGGTACAAGAATACCTCCAACATACATGCATTGAAACAATCCAAGTATGGTTTTATATGGTAAACACCGTATCCATCTAGCTACCTGCATACGCCATCTATCTCACTTATTTCGACTGTTTCGGTTTCTTGCATAATCGGTTTTCTGTACATGATGCAGGAAAACCGCAGGAAACAAGCATACGACGGGCGAAAAGGCCCATTCCCCATGTCCGTGTTTACTTATCCCATCCCCACCTTCGCCTTCCCCCTCCTTCCCCACTCCTTCTCCAATTCGATATCCTTCCTATCTCTCCCGATCCTTGATCCTTCCCTCGAGTCTAGATGTTCTATTTTCTAAAATAAAAGGCTCATAAAGACCGTCGATGATCTCTGCCCGTCGTATATATACTACATATACATGGCCCGTCAAAACACAGCTTTGATATGAAAACCCCCCCCCACGAGCCGACAATGGCCACAGCTGTAGATACCAGGACCGTCAACTCGACCCTCACCCAACGATCAGCTCCTTCCAATGGCCGCGCTCAGAGTGCCCAGACGCCAATCAACTCGGCCAATGTGTCAGGCATCGATGTGCCAGAGGTCAGTCGTCGTCTGCGCATAAAGAAGAAATACAGGCATGTGGCAGCCGTCCACTCGCGGCCCCAGAACACCGTCCTCAGCCATGACGCAGCCGAGATCCCCAGTTTCCTCGGATTCCGAAATCTGATGGTGATCCTGCTTGGTGAGTGATCCTGCTGCGGGAGAAGCCATGGAGGACCTATCTTATAGCCTGTGTCACAGTCGTTGGAAACCTGCGCTTGATGATTGAAAACTTCAACAAGGTATGTATGCCCGTCTCCAGCAGCAAAATGATAAGCGCTGACCACCCACACAGTACGGAGTTCTCATATGCCTACGATGCCACAACTACAAACGACACGACGTCTTCATCGGCGCCACGCTCCTCCTCATAATCCCCTGCCACCTCTTCGCCGCCTACATCATCGAGCTCGCCGCCGCCAAGCACGCCAAATCGCAACTCGCAGCAAGCAATAACCGCTCCGGCGCCGAGACACCCACCCCCACCGAAGCCGAGCGCAAGAAGTTCAACACGGCCTGGGAGCTGATCGCCTGGCTACACGGCCTCAACGCAACCCTCTGCCTCCTCATCACCTCCGTCGTTGTGTACTACTACATCCACCACCCCCTCATCGGAACCCTCTCCGAAGTCCACGCCATCATCGTCTGGCTCAAGACCGCCTCCTACGCCTTTACCAACCGCGACCTGCGCCACGCCTACCTCCACCCCTCCAAGCGCGTCGAAGACGCCCTACCAGATATCTACGCGCAGTGCCCATACCCCAAGAACATCTCCCTCTCAAACCTAACCTACTTCTGGTGGGCGCCCACCCTCGTCTACCAACCCGTCTACCCCCGCTCCCCCCGCATCCGCTGGTCCTTCGTCGCCAAACGTCTCGCCGAAGTCTTCGGCCTATCCGTCTTCATCTGGGTAGCAAGCGCCCAATACGCCGCCCCCCTCCTCCGCAACTCCCTCGACAAAATGGCTTCTCTAGAACTAATCTCCATCCTCGAGCGCCTCATGAAACTCTCCACCATCTCCCTCGTCGTATGGCTTGGCGGCTTCTTCGCCCTCTTCCAATCCTTCCTCAACGCCCTCGCCGAGCTCACCCGCTTCGGCGACCGCGACTTCTACAGCGACTGGTGGAACAGCGACAGCGTCGGCGCATACTGGCGCACCTGGAATAAACCCGTCTACCAATTCATGAGGCGGCACGTCTTCTCGCCCCTCATCGGGCGCGGATGGTCGCCCTGGGCTGCGTCGGTGGCGGTGTTCGTCCTCTCGGCGGTACTGCATGAGCTCCTCGTGGGCGTGCCAACGCATAATATCATTGGCGTGGCGGCTCTGGGGATGCTGGCGCAGTTGCCGCTTATTAAGCTCACGGCGCCGTTTGAGAAAGCGGGGGGGCATTATGGGAAGTTGGTGGGGAATACGGTGTTTTGGGTTAGTTTTGTACTGATTGGGCAGCCGCTGGCGGCGTTGTTGTATTTTTTTGCGTGGGAGGCCAAGTATGGGAGTCATTTGAAGGGGAGGGTGTGAATGGCTAGAGACTCGTACTCTGGATATAATAGCATGGATGAGAGGGTGGTAGAGTGTAGCGATTCTCTTTTAGGATATAGAGTTACGGGAAAGGGGTTGTTAATATGGGAGGCTGGCTTTTGATTATTTAGTAACACATGGGAAACATGTGGCTTTTCACAAACAAATGTGGATGGTATAAATCTCTATTCCAAGGCCGGAACTATCCATCTAGCTCAGTCAGCCAATAGCCAATGTAAATGTAATTGCTATGCAAGAATGTAACGCCCTCCCCCCAAACACCACACCCAATCCCTTCCCCTCCCTACATCAAAATCCAAGCACTCGCTCCATATCAAATCCATATTCCCCCAAAAATAACTCCCATCTCCCACCACCCCCTCACACAGCAGCAAAACTCAGCAAACTCCCCGCCGTCAACCCCGCCACAAGATTAAACCCCATAAACGCCCCCGCCGCCTCCCTCTCCTCCTCCCCCACCGCCCCCGTCGCCCCCATCATCGCACTACTCGCCAGCCAGCCATTCGTCAGCCCAAACCCCAACTGCACGATCAGCAAATAGAATAAATCGCTCTGCACCCACGCCCCGCGGCCCGAGACGTTGCTCAGTGCGTAGAGGGGAAGGAAGATGGCGCGCGCAAGCGAGACGGCGAAGAGAGAGCGTGGACGAGCGGGGAGGGAGGAGGTGAAGAGAGTTGATAGTCGACCGAGCAGGTCCCCCGTATTCCAGATCAGGAAAGCGAGGGGGATGAAGATGGGAGCGTGTAAGTACCGCGGCATAGGAGCGGGGTGCACGCTGGTGATCTGCGCGGTGTAGACGGGAAAGAACATGGTGAGCGTGAAGCAGAGGAAGATGGATGCAGAGTAGAAGGGGAGTTGGCGGTAGAGGGTTGGCATGGACATTACTTTCCTCGCTGGCGCGGAGGGGGTGGGTGAGGTAGGCGTTGGGGTGTGGCGGCGCGCGAGGGGGGTGAATAACACGAGGGTGAGGACGGCGACGAAGGTGGCGGTGAGGAAGTACATGAATGCTGATGTTGAGGAGGTTTGGGGGGGGGGGACGGCGGGGGGTGTGTTGTCGGTGGATGAGGGTGACTCCTCGGGGACGGCGAGGACGGAGACGATTTGTGCGATGCTGGGGAGGACGCCGGCGACTGCTTGGCCGGTCATGATGGCTTGCATGTAACTCGGATGCGCGAACGTAGCCACAAACGCAAGCGCCCCGTTCTGGAGCAGCCCCGTCGCTGTGCTGGTCGCCAAGACGGTGGCGAGGAGGAAGGCGAAGTACACCCCTGGAGACACAGTGACGAAGAAGATGGTTGATAAGGCGAGGATTGTGAAGACGACTATGTCGATTATGAGAGCGAGGATGATGCGGCGGGGGTAGGACGCGCCGGCTTGCAGGTTCGTGAGGAGGAACATGGATGCCAAGTTGGCGGTGGTGGCGACGGTGAGGATGGAGGATTGGTAGTTGGCGAGGATCCAGGGGTTGCCTTGGAAACGGGTCGCGAAGTAGGTGGCGGCGGCTAGGAACATGTTCCTACACAGAGATGTCAGTCAGTGATGTGGTCACGGAACGCGGGTAGAATTGATGAGGCTTACCATGCCCACAGCATCGCGACTCCAAGGATCAGGAACACACTGTACTCCACCCACGAGAACGGCTTCTCTTCCAGCGCCAGTGCCTCTTGTAGGGTTATATCATCGGCTCCTCCCTCCTCATCCTCCCTCCCGACAAGCTGTTCATACTCATCCCCCCGCACCTTCTGACTCCTCAGCGCCGCCCGAAGGCGTTCAATGACAGCGTTCATGACGGACAAGGTAGACCGATTCGGCCTCTCAAAGCTTCACCAATGTATCATAAACTCGTACCCTTTCCAAAACCACAGATCCAAAACGTGGTGGTGGTGGTAGATGTAGGAAATGGGTGAATTGTTGTGTTGCTGGAGTCACAGGGTGAACCGCAATTCACCTGGCTGGATGGCTAAAGGCACGCCCTCGCCTATCCATACCCTATCGCCCCCCCCCCAGCCGCCCCACCACGCGCCACTCGCCGGGCCATCCCGCATAGGCGCGTCAACCGCTATCTCCCCTGTAAATATCACGATGAGGCACGTGATCTATAAGTATCATAAAGACTTCGAATTACCCCATTTTTCTCTACAAGCCGGAACCAGCCACGAGCGACCTCTGGATCTTCGCATAGGGCCCTCTAGTAGTCGTATTCCGACTTCTCACGTACTATACAGTGCGGGCTTGTATTGGCCGTCTGGTCATGGGTCTGCGTTTCCTCCCTATAGATAGAGCGTGACGGTATGGAAGGAAGTGGTGGTTCACACAATCACAATAAAAAGAGCAAAGTTTTGCAAGAGGGAATCTCTTCTATTCCCGCCATCTCCTCCTGTGTGTAGCTACACTAAATATCGTGCCAAATCCATCGTCCTTCCCCTATCCCGCTCATGGCAACTCATCTACCCCATGCCGACATCTATAAGTACCCCCTCCGCCACTCTACACCCATCCCCAGTCCATATACTCCTCGGCCCGCTACATTTCCCCCACCAATTCCCTCAAAATCGGAACACAACCCCCCCAATGCGCCAGCCTACCCCACAAATATACCAGTTAACTCAAAAGGAATCCCTGAAAAGGGTCGTCGTATCAGCAGGGCATCCATTGCCCCCGCCTCGCTGAACGCTAAAACTGCGTCTTGCTCCCCCCCAAAAAACAGCCCAAAAAATACATCAAAGAAAAATGTTTCAGTCGTCAAGTCCCACCCAACTCTACTCCCCCCCCTTCCCCTTAACAGGCGTCATACCCTCCTTAGCAGGCGTCCCCGGCACCTCCGGCGTATAAAACGCAGCCTGCTTAAACCTCCCCCCCTCCTCATCTTCATCCACATCCTCCACCACCGGCAACGGCGTCCTCACCCCCTCCTCCTCCCCAGACACCATACTCATAGCCGCATCAGCATCAGCATCCGCATCGCTATCACTCCCCGCACCCCCCTCCTCCAACGTCGCCGCATGGGCCGAGAGGCGATTATGCAATTCCCTAAAGCTGCGTGCCGCGACGGTATTCGTACTCGCCTCCGAGCCGCGGTGATCTACACCACCACGGTGGTCACCACCACGCAGCGACGCCTCCCTCCCAAACTCCTTCGGCGCAGGCGACTCGCTCGTTCCCCTCTCCTGCGCCTGCGCCTGCGCCTGCTTCTTCAACCTCATCCTCTCCTCCGCAGACATATTCGCCAACGCATCCCCAAACGTAATAACACTAGCCTTCTTCCCATGAATGACAAAACTCCCCGTTCCCCTGGCGAGGTGATCATCCCTCGCCACCTCCTCTCCCTCCTTCGTCCCGGAGGAGGACGAGTCCTTGCCCTTGCGACTGCGGTGTTGGGTCGGGACGTGCGCGTCTCGGAGGGTGCGGTGGATGCTGCGCCGGATTTTGCCGCGTTCGAGTTTCTCTTTCTCGGTGGAATCGGAGGTGCTGGTGGTGGGGGGTTCTCCGGCGATGGAGTCGGAGGCGAGGGTGCCGTCGATGAGACCTGCTTGTTCTAGGGCTATGTTTTCGCCGGCGTCTTCTTGGGGGGAGGAGACGGAGCGTTGCGGATCGGCGGAGGCGGTTGGGGTCATCCGGGGGTATGAGGATGTGTGGGAGAGGACGGGGCTTCTTGGCTGTGCGCCGGCGCCTGGGGATAGCTGTTTCCTTGGACCGTCGAATTTCAGAGGTGGGAGTTCCCATGCTTGCGCTTTGTGGAAAGTGGAGGCGCTCTGTGCTGCCGAGGGACTGGTGAAGAAATCGTCGATGTCGAAATCATTCGGTGAAGCTTGTGGCACCGGAGTTGGGTGCTGAGACTGCGAGCTTTGCTGGGGAGAGAGGGCAGCGCTGTTCCTCGAGCTCACTCCGGCGTGACTGTCACGGTCGTTTTGCTTGGCTAAGCATTCCCCAGAGAGATTGGCAGTAGGAAGTAGCGGGTCTACTTTTTCACCTTCCCCGTGCTTCACTTCCTCATCCAAGTCCATGGACAAGATATCCCTGTGACATCTCAGCCTCCAGATCTCCATCCGGACCCATCTCAGCTTTGCCGACATGCGGCCAGCTGCCAACACTACTTGTTCCCGCGTCTTTGCCTGGATAGGCGCAAGGATTAGCAAGTGACGAGCATTCCGAAGCTGAGCGTCTAATTGTTTGGTAGCGACAGCCAGCTTCCCCTCCGCTTCCGTCATCTTCTGCATCATAATCTCTCTCCTTGCGGCCAAGATATCTTGAGCCATCTGGAGATCAATCTTCCCGCTGATAATCTGAACCTCGCCAGTAGGAGTCTGCACGGAGCGTCCAGAATTCGCACTACCGAGCCTCCTAATCCCACGAGTTCGCTGCCCCTCATAATTCCCACCAACCACGCCTCGCATTCTCACGCCGGCTGTGCGGAATGCGGCAGCGTAATTCAGCTTCGCGAGCCAGTCATTCATTTCATCTTCGTTGTCCGCCAGGAATGTTTCCTCAAAGCGTCCATGGCGAACGAAGAGAAACGCGTTCTTGTGCTTCTTGTACGTAGAATCGAGCAGGGCGACAGCATCATCCGTTGACATCAATGCATCCGGCTTAAAAGATTCAATCGGAGGCTTGAAGGTGACTGGAATTCCATCGTTGCCTTGCTTGACGTGATGGTCGTGTTGATGAATCAAGCTCTTGATCCAGGCTGTGTTGCGGAAGAAGTACAACTGCGCTCCTGTGAGAATTGCGCCCCATTCCTGCCAAGGAGACCTCGTCTTCTTCTTCTTTGGGTCCTTGCGCCATAACAAGCCAACCTTGGTGATCTTGATATCGACGATTCCTGGATGTGCCTCCTCGGGGTTCATGGCCGTCTTGTCGGACATGAAGGCATCAGGACGTGACCTTGCTGATATAATCTGCAAAACTCCCGTTCTGAAGAACGTTCGTTGCAAGTCATCTAGATTGAGAGATAGCGCAGTTCCAAGGTAGCTGTAGTGCTCCTCCAAGTTCATTACATCCTTCAGATTAGGTCGTAACGAGTCAAGCTTGCTGTCGATAATTAGAGTGTACGGATCAACAGGCTCTTTCGAAGGGCGCTTCATTGGATCGATACTTGATCGAGGGAATAGACTCTTCTTCTTCGACATGTGCTGGACAATTCGCTCGCCATTGATATCAAGGTCATCCTCCACATGGATGAAGGGCGTGTACGAAATATTGTCATAGAAACACTCCAATATTTCGTCAAAGATTCCCTCTCCCTGTGTGTTTTTACAGTAAGCCTGCTTCTGCATCTTATTCTTGTTATTCTTGTTGAAGACATCGGTGTGAAGGATCAGAAGCGAAAAGGCAATAAAGTATGCCTGCTCAGGCGAAGCGTAGATACCTGGGTTACACTCGTGGTACCGATGTGCAAATGATTGCAGGCATCGGTCAATATGTTGCGTCTCCTTGGGCAGTTCGACCTCCATAAGAAGCTTTCTGAGGGCCATATCCATAGGGTCTCCGAAGAACCCAAACCCACGCATATAGCTCCGGAGAACCTGCTGTGAGAACGTATCGCTGCCTTTAGACAAGACACTTGCAACGGCGCCTCGACTAACAGCCTCTTCAAGCCGCAGGAGATACTTTGCCGGGCTATCATCCTGGTGTCTCTCGGGTATGATAATTGGCTCTCTTGTGATTTGAATTGAGTTATTTTTCGAAGTAGCAGAGAGTGGACTTGCTTGTCCTGAAGCGTGAGGCATTGGATCAGGACGAAGGCGATGGGTCAAGTTGAATATATCTCCGAAGCTCTTCCTGCCAGTCGACGTCGACGTGCGGCTGGACGGAAGAGGTGGGGTATCTAATGGCTCATCGTTCTGCCCGTTCCTCAGAGATGTCAGAGTGGAGGACCTGCCCCTGAGACCGCGTCGAGTAGGAGAAGATTTGTTGGAGGCAGTTGAGTCGCGGCGGATTAATGGTGACCCAGGGGCTGCAAACAGCATAGACGCCTTAGCAATAGCAGAGTGGGTGTGAGCGGCACCCTCGTTGTCGTCGGCGCCTTGCGGGAGACGTAGAGTCTGCGCAGCGCCGGAATCCGTGCTGGCTCGACTAGTGTTGTTGCCAGACTTATCAGGTACGGAAGGCGAATTAGGCTGGTCATGGTGAACTACCTTCGGTGGTAAAGGAAAGAGCGGCTGGGGCTTCTTTCGCCGCGGTAGTCTAAAGAACGTAGTCGTAGTATGTGTTGTCTGTATCGTAGTGGTCGTTTGCGCATACACATGGTTGTCTGCAGAGCTACCATCAGATCTCGAAGATTCAGACAGCCTATTGACTGGCAATGCAAGCGTCGATCCAGCATCATCTCCATAAGGCGGAGGCATTGCACCTGGGACCTGAGAGCTGTGACGCACAGGTTCATCGAAGGTGACACGGGACGACGAGTTCCCCTCGGATAGCGCCTTCCTCCTCTCCTTCTTCGATGCCTTTATCAGTTCGTCGAATGCGGATGGCTTAGAGTCCGATGGTTTTATACCAGGAAGCTTGAGCTTCGACTTTTTCTTCTGTGCGGTGTTTGTCGGTGCCGTTGTGATGATTTCGGGAGCTGCCGAGCGAACGTCAGTGGCTTCTCTTCCAATGAGACACAGGCTCGGGTCAATGTCAATCAATTGGGGGAGGTGGAACGTACGTCTAGGCATAGGAGGGGCGGCATCAGCCTCAGCCTGCTGCCTCGCTCTCGTAGACAGCTGCGAATCAGACGCATGCCTAAACTTCATCATCGAGAAGCGGCCCGACTGCCTGGGCGTCGCATCCTGCACAGGCGGTGACACCGGCCTATCCTCCGGCAGCGGCAGCGTCTCCTCCGGTGAAGTGAACGCCATGGCCGGCGCGGACGACAGCGGCGTCAGCTCGAGTGAATCTGACGCGCCAGCGTCCCTGCGCGGCAGCTGCTCGCTCAGTCTCCCCGCCCTGCTATCCGCCGCAGCAGCTCCTGGCGGGCTGGGGAGAAGCAGCGAGTGACGGCGGTTGAGATCGGTCTCGCTGGCCTGGCCGCGTCGACGCAGCAGGCCTGGGATGATGGGCATCTCGAGGGGTGTGGAGCACGGGGGCAGGGGCGAAAGGGATTATCGGATCATGGCAGGCCACTCGCTTCGTGTCTTGTTTCCGTTTCCAGGCCGACTTGGAGGCTCCCTCGAAGGTTTCTTGGGGGTTTGGGGATAGAGGTTGCGGGGAAGGATTGGAAGAGCCAAATAGGAGTTTATCGGTCGTGCGTCGAGTGGTTGGCGTGGTGTACAGGGTCGTCGTCGCACAGACGTCAGGGCAGCTCAGTGAGAGATATTGGCAAGCTGTGTGGTGTGTGATGATACAAGGGGTTTTGGAAAAGTGATCAATAATACAAAAACAAGAGGATGGTGTTTCAAACGATTGATTGACACTGAGGTCTTGGGAGAAAGAGCGTAGAGAGATATAGAGAGAGTTGGAGTACAGAAATAGAGGATTGTATAGGAGGAAGCTGCTAAAGGCAATAGCGCGTGTCGTTGGGATTTGGGATTTGGGATTTATGTGGAGGGTACTTGTAAAGACACCACTCCTATTGCGGGGGATGAAGTACTCTTTTGCTTATTCCCAACTCCAAGCACCTTCTCATTCTCCCTTTCCTCCTATGCAGTAAGAGAGAGAGTGGCTGTAAGAATTTAATCCTATCTCTAAATAAATATCATCAAGAATGAAAAATAACTTACCAAGAAGGATCAAAATACATCTACCCCGCCAGTAGCGCACCCAATCGGAAGCATAGTCATCGTCATCGTCATCGTCAATTCAACAGCCACCAAAGAGCAAAGAAGTCGCTGCCTTGGGACCCCAACCAACAACAACAATCCAAACAATCTTCCCCCATCACAACACCCTGATTCCAACCCTCAACCCGCATCCAGAAAGGGTCACCATCCCCTTGCGTCTCCACCGCTTGGAGACAACACCGTGCAGTGATGCGACTCCTCCAGGAGCCCTCCTCACTCTTCCCCCTCCTCCTCCTCTCCACCCTCGCCCCAGTCCCCACCGTAGCTGTCCCATGGGCTACCGGCGACAGCACACAGTCCCTCAGCGGCCGCGACGCCAAAGCGCCGTATCACCGCTCCCACAGCGTGTTCCCGCAGTTGACATGGCTGCGCGACACGGCGATCGAGAAGATCTTTGGCGGGAACGCGAAGCCTGAGACGGCGACGGCAAAGGAGAATGGACAGGTCGCGACGACGAGCCAGCGGAGGCCGTTGAGCGCGCAGCTTCCGGCGACGCTGTTGGCGAAGTATGGGGGGGATGTGGTGCTGAGGTTTAACATTACGACGTTGGAGGAAGAGGCGGCGTTGGCGGAGGCGGCGGATACGCTGTTTCTTGATGTGTGGGAGTTTACGAATAACTGGGCGGATATAAGGTTGGCAGAGGACGATGTGAGTATATCGTGGTGGCCTCACTCCCAAAGATATACATACTAACCCCTCCCCCAGGTCCCCTCCCTCCTCGGTCTCCTCCCCAAATCCCTCCACAACGCCTACTCCAACCTCATGCCCGACCTCGCTCAATCAATCTACCAATCCTACCCCTCCCTCGCCTTCTCCTCCCCCCCGTTCCCCCCCTCCCAAGGGCACTCCTCCTTCACCCCCTCCATCCACAAAACCGACGGCGCAACCGACAACATCTTCTTCCGCGACTACCAACCCCTCTCCGTCATCATCCCCTGGATGCGCCTCATAGCTTCCATGTTCACCACCCACGTCACCATGACCTCCATCGGGCTCTCCTACGAAGGCCGCTCCATCCCCGCCCTCCGCGTCGGCGTGCATCCCACCCCTGCTTCTTCCACCAAAAAGCGGAAGACAATCATCGTCGCCGGCGGCCTGCATGCGCGCGAATGGATCTCTACATCTTCCGTCACGTACATCGCGTGGTCCATCATCACGGCTTACGGCAAGTCTCCCGCTATCACGAAGTTGATCCATGAGTTCGATTGGGTCTTCATCCCGACGCTGAATCCGGACGGGTACGTGCATACCTGGGAGACGGACCGCTTGTGGCGCAAGAGCAGACAGCAGACACACCTCCGCTTCTGCCGCGGCCTCGACCTCGACCGGTCATTCGGCTACCGCTGGGCCGGGTCCGCGTTCCAAGCTAACCCCTGTTCCGAGAGCTACCCTGGATCTGCGCCGTTCCAGGCAATTGAGGCGCATCGCCTGGCGGAGTGGGCGAAGATGGAGGTGAAGGAGAATAATGCGAAGTTCGTGGGATTGTTGGATCTACACTCGTATTCCCAGCAGGTTCTGTATCCCTACAGTTACTCCTGCGAGGCCGAGCCGCCGACGATTGAGAATCTCGAGGAGCTGGGGATGGGGTTGGCGAAGGCGATAAGGATCTCGAGTGGGGAGTTTTACGCGGTTACTTCGGCGTGTGAGGGGAGTGTTGTTACGAAGAAGAAGAAGGGGAAAGGCAAATCGGCGAAGACGAAGAAGAAGGATGAAGAGAAGGAGGAGGAGACGAGGAAAATCCGCATGGAGAGTGGAGGCGGCTCAGCGATCGATTGGTTCTACCACGAGATGAAGGTACGGTATACGTATCAGCTTAAGCTGAGGGATACGGGGAGTTATGGGTTTTTACTCCCGGGAGAACATATTGTGCCGACGGGCGAGGAGGCGTTTAATGCGGTCAAGTATTTTGGGGACTTCTTGATGGGGAATAAGGGGATTGAGAGTGTGGATGGGGTGGGGGTGGAGGCAGAGGTACTGGAGGAGATGGAGGAGGGGGTTGAGAGTGTGGCGGTGGAGGAGGGTGAGGAGGTGGATGTGGATAAGGATGATGAGGAGGAGTGGGTGGTAGTTGAAGACGAGGGTTTGGAAGCAGCGAGTGATATGTCCGAGCTACGGCGGAGGAGGAGGTTAGATGTGTAAAATTGAACCCTTTGGACATGTCAAAGAACGAATCATACCATACTTACTTTTTCGTGATTAGCCCAATGCGACCTTGTTGCTGTAGCCGTATAGCCGTACTAGTATAGTATAGGGGTATATTCGCCCACGTGACCTTGTACTCCGTAATATATCAAGTATAAAGCATAAAAGCAAGTATATTCCCCCCACGTGACCCTAATAGGTGGCTCCATTATACTGCCAACCGAACACCACTTTACATAAGGACTCCGTAAGTCCTTATGTAATATATCTCGCATTGTTCGAGGGTGTTCGAGGGTGTTCGAGGGTGTTCGAGGGTGCTAGTAGAAAAACTATAAAAATAACATAAAAAGAAAGTATATTCCCCCACGTGACGAAAACTACGTAGTCCTGGGGATGTACAGGATCCAATACTGACCACTACCGCAGCCTACAGGTTGCGTGCTTTTGCCTGTACCCATACTATACTACCATCTCTAATTATATTCTCCATATATACAGAACCTTCAACTGTGGCGATTATTGAGGGTCTAGTTCTTCTTCTGTCTGCTACTATTGTATTATACAACCCATCGAAACTTTCCCATAGCCTGCAATCTGCTCTAACCAGCAAAACCCGTCCATACTATACGTCCATGTCGACATCGCACGCCATCCCGCACCGCCTTCACATCAACCCCAACACACAGTTCTCGACTCAGAATACAAGAATACACTGACATTACCGCATACCACGGACAGCAACACTGCAACCAGGCACAGATCAACCCCGTGGCGACATCGGGGCGCGCCATTTTCCCATCTCCGTATATCCCCCTCTGTCCGCTCCCTTCTCTCCATGTCCGATCTGCCACGTCCTGCACGTGAGAACACTCTTCGCCGCGGAGACCGAGACCACCACCGCCACGAGGGAGCAGCTGAGCCTGAACTGTCCTGTGCGACAACTACCTGACCTCTCTCCTCCTCACCCCTCCTCTCTCTCGACAAACACAACCACAACACACAATGCCGACCACCACCATGGCGACAGCGCCGACCTCCCCTCCCCCCTCCACCTCCACCAACAACGGCACCCCCTTCCCCTCGCCACCCATCCACGACAGCTGCAACGACACCTACGAGGCGCACTCGCACGACGACAACGACGATACCCTCTCGCGCATGCGCCTGGCGAGCTCAAACAAGATAGCCGGGCGCGCCATTGCGCCATTCCTCGCGCGCCACATCCCCGCGGCCTATGCGCCGACGGGGACGGCGAGGGAGGGCGTGGAGAGGGAGAAGGATCCGAGTACCAAGTTTTGTTATAGGCATAGGCCGGATCTGAAGTGTAGGAGGACGGCGGATGAGCCGTCGATGGATCATTTGCAGAGGGTGAGTTTTATTGCGGTTATCCTCGGGGAGGAAAGGGTGGAAGTGAATTTTTGTTAGTAGGGTATGGATGGGATTTTGGCTGACTTGTGCCGATAATAGGAACTCGAGAGCTTGTCGCAGGCCGACCAGCAGGGCATATCGCACGTCTGGTCGCTCTTCTCCGCCGCGCCGGCAAAACACCGAAACCTCATACTACAAGGCATCCTAACACAATGCTGCTTCCCGCAGCTCTCCTACCTCTCCACCGCCGTCCGCGACCTCACCCGCATCGACTTCATCACCGCGCTCCCCTCCGAAATCTCATTCAAGATCCTGTGCTACCTCGACACCACATCCCTCTGCAAAGCCGCGCAAGTCAACCAGCGGTGGCGCAGCCTGGCGGATGATGATGTCGTCTGGCATAAGATGTGTGAGCAGCATATTGATCGCAAGTGCGTGAAGTGCGGGTGGGGATTGCCGCTGTTGGAGAGGAAGAGGTTGAGGGATTGGAAGAGGCAGCAACAGCTCCGTGCGACGGGGAGGGGGCTTAATGAGTGGTCGCCTCAACTCACGCCGCAGCCTGAGGCATCGGATAGTGCTTCGATCCCAAGACTGGAGTTGGCTGCTACAGGCCAGAATGGGAGGAAACGCTCCGCCTCCTCGTCCCTCTCCGACGACGGCCACGTCTCGCCCACGCAAATCAAGAAACTGCGCACCATCGAACCCGCCGCCAACGGCGTCGTATCGCGCACCAGCACACCCCGCTTCCGGCCCTGGAAAGAAGTCTACAAAGACCGCTTCAAAGTAGGCACAAACTGGAAGTACGGGCGCTGCACCACGAAAGTGTTTCGCGGCCACACAAACGGCGTCATGTGTCTGCAGTTCGACGACTCCATCCTCGCGACGGGGTCGTACGATACCACCATCAAGATCTGGGATATCGATACTGGGGAAGAACTGCGCACCCTCCGCGGCCACACCTCCGGGATCAGGTCGCTGCAATTCGACGACACGAAACTCATCAGCGGCTCCCTGGACCGGATGCTCAAGGTATGGAATTGGCGGACGGGGGAATGCATGTCCACATATCAAGGCCACACTGGGGGTATAATGTCGCTGCACTTCGACGGAAACCTCCTCGCCAGCGGGTCCGTCGATAAATCCGTCAAGATCTGGAATTTCTCCGATAAATCGACATTCTCGCTCAAAGGGCATCGCGACTGGGTCAACGCCGTCAAAGTCGATTCCGCATCCCGCACTGTCTTTTCTGCGTCAGACGACTGTAGTATCAAGCTGTGGGACCTCGATTCTAAGGCCTGCATCAAGACTTTTGAAGGGCATGTTGGACAGGTTCAGCAGGTTCTGTCGCTGCCGGCGGATTATGAACCGGAACTCGACGACCCCTCCCCAACAGCCGACGACGCATCCTCCAACGCCTCCTCCGCCGACCTCCCCCAACCCACCGACCTCCGCTCCTCGTTCGGCCCAGCTTTCACCGCCGGTTACGCCACAAACCGCCCCTTGCCGCCGCGCTACATGTTAACCGGCGCCCTCGACTCCACCGTCCGGCTGTGGGACGTGTATACCGGGCGCTGCCTGAAAACATTCTTCGGCCACGTCGAGGGCGTATGGGCACTGGCGGGGGATACGCTCAGGGTTGTTTCAGGGGCGGAGGATAGGATGGTCAAGATGTGGGATGCGAGGACGGGGAGGTGCGAGAGGACGTTCGCGGGGCATGCGGGGCCGGTTACGTGTATTGGGTTGAGTGATAGTAGGATTTGTACGGGGAGTGAGGATTGTGAGGTTAGGTTGCAGAGTTTTAAGGGGGATTTGGGGGAGGGGGAGGGCGGAGTGTAGCGCAGCGCTTGAGCGCGAGCGTAGGGGGAGGGAAGATGGTGTGGCTGTGGCGGGGGGTTTGCTTCGAGCGGGATGCTTTGTTTTGGGGAGTGATGGAAGGATACCAAGGCATGGAATCGGATCGAGGCTCAACGACAGCCCTACGGCTGGATAATCAAACGGCGTTTTTCGGGTTACGTATGGGCGGCGGAGGGATGGCTTTGCTCTTTTGCTCATCTTAGCGGCTTCCTTATATTTTTTGGTTCTGGGAATGGGGGACAATAGGGGAACAGGAAAAGGGGAATGGGAAGGGGAAGGGGGGGCGGATTACCTGGAAAATGGGGTAAGAAAGGGGGGCAGGGGGATTAGATTCAGTCAAGTGCTGTACGATATGAAATACCAATACCAATATCATGAATACGACGGGGGAGGATGGTGATGTGAATGTGATAGGTGTATGTGAGGAATCTTACTGGAATAATAGGGTAGATCCGAGGTGGTGTGAGACAAGTGATATCTATATTGACACTGCGGATTGTGCCCAGGAGAACGAAGGTAGAGAGGGGGAAGAAAGGTAAATACATCCCAAAACCGCATAGAAAGTCCCAACACAACGTAACTAACAACAGTAATTATCATCAATCCATTTGTTTCTCCATCTATCATTTTCCTTTTCTGGGGTAAGTGCGTACCCCATCACAAACTCCCTGCCAAATCTCCACATCCGTCATCCCAAAACGTGGCCGGAACAACAATTTCCCGACCCACCAATAATTCCTCGCTTCTCCCTGCTTCCACAGCTCTCCCCAACCACACAACCGCAGCTCCCTTCCAACTCGAGACTGAAGCAACGCACGCAGCGCTGCCACCTTCGAACCACGCAATTGAGGTTTCGTGACGGGAGACGAAATGGCTGCTGTAATCCAAGGTTTCTTTGGAGGGTCGAAGAAGGACGAGCATAAGGTCGTTGCGGATAATGGTGCGTCCCCAATCCCATTCGCCTCCCACTCTCCCTCCCCTCCCGCCCCAATTCAAACCTCCTCCCCCCTCCCCAATCCAACCAAACCACCACCTCTCTAACCCCCCCTCCCAGACTTCGCCGACTTCGCCTCCGCCCCCGAACCCACCCCCTCCTCCTTCGTCCACCCCGCCGGCACCACCCCCCTCGCCGCCTCCTCCACCCCAGCCGTCCCTTACACAAAATGGTACAACATCCACGAGCGACACTCCCTCTCCGAGTTCCGCGGCGAAGGCTACATCCTCCTCCTCCTCCTCGCCCTCGGTACAATCCACATCCTCGGCACGCGCGCGAACCGTCGCCGCGCTCGCGCTTGGGCGTCTGCACACGCTCCCGTGCTGCATAATGAGTTCGCTTTAGTCGGATTCGCGCCGCCGCAGCCGAGTGCGGCAGATGCGGAGGGAGAGGGACTCGCGAGGGCACTTGCGAAGGCGGATAAGGATGGGGAGGTGCTGAAGGAGGTGGGATTGAGTAACTTCCTCGGGTACGCGACGGGACGCCTTAATGTTGCGTTTTTGGACATCGAGATCGACCTTCTCAAGCGCTACAACCCCGTCCTCCAATTCATCGAGAATGCAGCTGGTTTCTTCTTCGACTCCATGCCCGCGCCCGTCGAGCGGGTCTCAGCGATCCTCTACCCCTTCGATGGGAAAGAGGCGTTGACCGTCCTCGGACTCCCTGGTATGGCGGAGCTCAAGGGCGGGAAGAGCGGGTATGATAATTTCGTCTGGGCGGTTGTGCATAAAGAGCGTATGCGCCAACTCCGCGATGAGAGATACGATGTTAGTATCACCGTCACCAAGGACCACCCCCGTCTCCCCGAGTGGGCGACTGTCATGTCCGAGAGCGCCGAGATTACCGAGGCGATGCTGACACCCGCGCTTGTGGCTGCGGTTGAGAAAGCTGGGGAGGCGTTCGAGCACTTGATCATCACGGACCAGCCCATCAGCCAGCCCCTCAGCGTTGACGAGACCGCGTCAAAGAAGCGGGTCTACCTATCCCTCCGTCTGCCGGCTTCGGGCGATTACACCGCGACGCTGCCGATCTTCACGTATTTCGTGCAGCTTGGCGATTTCCTAGTCGAGAAGGCGCATTTCCGCCCGGAGGTTCTGAAGAAGGTGCGCAGGGGGAGAGAGGATGTGGTGAAGCGCCTGGTGAAGGCGGATATGGATGGGAAGGCGGAGGAGAGGGCGCTGGAGAGGGAGAAGGCGAAGAAGGCGAAGAGGGATAGGGAGTTGGCGGGGTTGGATGCGAAGGCGCAGAAGAAGTATTTGGAGAAGGAGAAGGAGAGGGAGATGAAGAGGAGTATGAAGAGGGGGGGGCAGAAGGGGTAGGGTGGGATGGGATGTGTACTTTGTAGATATTAATCGTCGGGACCGCCTGTTCGTGTTTCGCTCACAGTCGGAGGAAGCGATTGTCCCCTGGTAAGCATTCAGCAACTGTAATTAAGCTTCGGTTTTTAGGACTTGGTGTGTATAGCTCATGAACTCCAATTAGAACTAAAACTTGCTCTCTACCTAGAATCCCAATTCGAAATCCAGCCTTGTCTATATTCTATAGATTGCTTGACTTGATCTATGCTCTTACAAGAATCCTTTATATCGTTAAAACTAATTAATGACAACTGATTTGTCATGTGTAGTTGGCTGTTGCTTTTGAAATTGGCCTCATATGAGAACGGGGGGAGTTTCCAGATTGGGCTTGGACGGGTCATGTGGGATGGAACTGGGTATATAGAATTTATTTATTGTTTTACTAGGTATATGGAGTTTTTGCCCTTCTTTTTTACTACTCCGTAAGTTAGTTTACATGGTATATGATTCTTTTACCATAAATTAAGGCAGACACAAGGGTAGAGCTACCCGTCGCATGGAGCAAACCTCACTAAGTTGAGGGGCCGCGAATCTAGGGATCCACTATTTTGGTAGCGCGATTCTTGTGCTTTCTCCTATATCGTCGGTTTTGTAGCTGCCCGCCCATCTTGCCATGTCAAAGCTGCCAGTCACCGTTGGCCAGATTCTGAAAGGGAGGAATGGTCTATACGAAATTATCGAGGCCCTGAAAACGAATACGGTGTTTAAGGCCGCAATTCTTAGCAGTACTTCCGAAGAAATACCTCTAGGCGCCCAACAACTGTTTGTCTATCATGAGAGCCCTTGTTGGATAGCTCGTTGACTTATTTATAGTGCTGTGATCAAGACAGAGACAGATGAGTCTATGAAGTATGTCTTCAACCGTGAGCGAAACAATTACGAACTCCCGCACATGGCTTCATGTAAAACAATAAGAGCGCTCCGCGATGTTATTAGCTTTGACCCCCAAAAACCATTAGAGCCGCAATGCATGGTGTTCGAGTGGATGGATCAGGATCTTCGCAAAGTGCCATACTCTAGGTTTCGTTCCAAGCCTGAGCTCCCACGTGTGATCGCAAGGTCAGTCCTAGAAACACTTGCCTTTCTAAAAGAAACGTACGGTGCTTTCCATTCAGGTATTATTCCCCAAACCTTACCCACACAGGCAAAGATTCTTACTGATTTTAAAGATATTAATCCGAATAATATTCTACTATCAAATGTCGACAGTGCATGCCCTGTTGTTAAGGTGGGCGATTTAGGGAACAGTAAGATAGCATTTATCTACCTACCAAACGAGACTAAAAGAAATATAGTGCTCAGAGAAGGCTACGATGATACACGGATCCAAAGCCTACCGACCCGTGCCCCCGAAGTCTGGCGTGGCCTCGGGTGCTTTCACAGCTCCGACGTCTGGTCCCTCGGCGCTACGGTAATCTCCCTACCAACCAAACCCTACTAATAGATATGGAATCTAACAACTACCAAGTTGACATACTGGCTTGCCCAAAGGCTCGTCTTCGGCGCTGGCGACAAGATCATAGATAACAACACTGAGGCATGGTGCATAGCCAAAACCATCCGCCTCGTAGGGTCGATATTGCCTCCTGTGAACGAGGCTTTCCTCGATGAGTTCTCACTAGCGACGGCGCTGGAGAAAGAGGAGTACGAGGATCCGGAGACGGGGAAGATGATGAAATTTATTACGATAGGGACGGTACGGCAGGAGCTTGAGAGAATTGGGGGGGTGCCGCAGGATCTGATCGAGTTTATTGAGTACTTATTAGTTATTGATCATACGAAGAGGCCAACGGCGAGAGAAGCGCTAGGGCATCCGTACCTGGCGGACGTGGCAGTTTGAAGATGAAACATTTGCTACTCACAATGACCATAGCACTGTTGCTGTAAATTAGCCTAGTACGGGCTGTATACTAGATCATAAGCAAACTGTCATTATGTTGTGCGCCTCATTTCTGTGTTAAATCCCCAAGTTCTAGCGCATAGCACATTAGAGGTCTGCCTAAATCTTAGTGTAGGTAGCGATCCTACATATAAGGATTCCTGTCTATAAGAATTTATATTTTCGGTTCTAAGCGTATCCTTCTATAGAGATTGTATTGTACCAACACCTAGTTGCAATAACTCTGTAGTCTATATAACGCTGCTACCTATTAAGATAAACACCCTTTTTATACACAACACACCTCTATTCCTCCCCTCTTACAATTTTGATATCCGTCCTGACAATGATTCTCCCATCCCTAATCTCCTCCTCATCCATCCCCATACCCTTCTCCTCCCTCTCCACCCTCTCATTCATCTTAATATACACCGAGTTCCCCAGCTGACTCCCCGACTTCCGACGGGTGCCAAGCGACTTCGAGCTCGTGCTGTAACCGACACATTTTGGGCCCTGTGATCTGAGCGTCCCCGCGCGCCACGACGAGAAGGTGAAGAGGCCGCGGATTGTCGGGAGGCAGGCGCAGATCAAGCCGACGGAAGGCTCGATGTGCGTCCAGAGGCTGGCTTGGTAGACGGTATCTAGGGCGGGGTTAGCAAAATGACTGCGAGCCGGGAATTGGAAAAGAGGGGGGGAGGTTACATGTGGTGTCGGCGGGGTCGATGTAGAAGAGGACGACGATGCGGTAGACGCTAGCGAAGCAGACACTAGGGGTGGTTGGTTAGCTGAGTTTGGATTCTGAGCAGAGGACGGGACGCACAAGCCGCCGAGGGCAAAGACGCAGCTGAGCGCGAGCTTATCCTGCCATGAGCGCTTGAGGCGCCAGATGATGGGCAGGGGCATGCCGAGGATGACAAAGTCCATGATGACGTTGAAGGTCTGGTTGACGATGAAGAACGTGGTGCCGTCGATGCACACGGCGTCGACGGACTTGTCCCAGTAGCCGCGGAGGGGCCGGCACTGGAGCGCGCAGGTGAGGAAGATGGCGGCGGCCCAGAGGCCGATGAGCCAGTTTATGAGGGCGGAGATGCGGCGGAAGGTCGCGTTCGGGAAAATGCGACGGTAGAAGCAGATGATGGAGATTTTGAGGACGGGGCAGAGAGCGAAGTAGGTGAATTGGTTCGCGATGAAGATCTGGGGAGGGTTAGTGGCTGAGATGGGCGTGGGTGGAGGCGGGTTGTTGGACCTTGCTGAATCTAATGAGAGTTTCAGGAGAGAGCTCTGAAAAATGAGTTCCGTTACCGCCGATGGCACACCCTTGGTTTTGATGTTAGCTGCTAGATGAGTTTGCACGGGGACATGATCTCACAGAAAATCAACTGCACGAACATCCCATATAGGAGAAACAGCGCCGTAAAGCAGAGGTAGTCGTCCATGTCAATCGTGACCTGGCGCTTGAGCCTAGCGAAAACGCGTAGGACGGTAGCGATTGTGGCAAGACCGACCAGCACCGTGACGATAATGATCATCTTCCATCCCCTCTCACTGGGCGCCATTGTGGCGGGCAGTCAGGGCAGTCAGGGCAAATAGGACGATTTGATCGTTCGATTTTGGCCCGGCAGCGTGGCACAGTCGACATAAAAGTGATGGCGGCCGGGGCGGCCATGCAAAGGGATGGGAATAGTCTTGTAATATTCCATTGGGAGGGAACTGGTCTTAGAGGATCGATCTGCCATCAGGCTAACGATGGGATGGTAGATCGACATGGATGTACAGTGTTTGCTGTAGATATATCGAGTGCATGTGAGCTGCATCTATCCGGGAACCTGTCGGGAAATTGGGGCATCGGGCCATCGCGCCATCGCGACACTCACTAGGACAATCGCCCCCCGCGGCCTGCCCATCATGCAAGCCTCCACCCTCGCCATCTACCTCATGCCCCCCGTCGTCGCGATCTACGGCGCGGGTTTACAGCTACACCTCCACACCATGGTTCTCGCGCTCGCGAGCTTCCTGATTTGGTTCGCTGCACTGCTTGTCCTGCCCGTGTGCTACAACTACATTGTGGAGTGCTTCCTGCGCACGCCCGTCGAGGCCAGCGTCGCGCTCATGAGCGTCTTGATCATCACCCAGTGGCAGATGGCGGTGAGCGTCGGCTGGATGTGGGGCATGGGTGCGATTTTTGTACTGGCGGTGGATGTGCTGATGGTCTTGGTGATCCTGAAGGGGCACTCGGTGAGGAAGCTCACGGTGCATATTAGCGAGACAATTGCGGCGACCGAGGATGGTGAGAGGATTATCGGCGAGAAGGAAGATGGTGCTTAGAAGAAGGATCTACGAATGGTCCACGTGAAAGACTATAGTATGTACACTGGCTTTAGCATATAGCATATACTATTTAACCTCCGTTGCAAAATAAAGCCAAAGTCTCTTATACCCCCCGTACCCGCACCTCCACCAAGAATATAGGCTAATAAGTGCACCCCTTTATTACGTTGTATATATGCAAGCCCCATGCCTCTTATGTAGCCATACCCAAGCTACAGAGCTGCAACTCCGCAGCAAGGCCGCCGGGCACACACTGCACACCACACTCGCAGTGGCTCATAACATAACATCAACTCGCATCAGACCAAGCGGTCCCGCATACACCCCCTTTCGGGAGAATCTCCGAGGCACCGCCCTCTACTGCTCTCTAAGCTCATATTCTGTACATAAACCCAAAGCTTAGCACGTCCCCATACCCTTCGGGGGCCGCGGGTTACACCCGCGTCTGTATCATCATCATCTTATGTAGCCATTAGCGTTGGTCTTGGTCAATCGGGCAAGGTTAAATCGATGGTTCGCTCACATCCGCTACGGAGATTACTGTACACCTCCTCCCCTCTCCTTAGCCCCGCTGCGAACCAAGACAAGCCGCCTGTTAGCTTTAGACACAGCATACCGAAGTGTTGTTCAAAAGTTTTGTCGGTGGATCCGGCCAGGGCCCCCTGCGTAGGTTGGCTTGGCAATTCTGGCTGAAGTACCGATTCTCATACGACTCGATGACTCGAGAATGCGAGTGATAATTCTTCATAATATGCCATACCCGTCCAATCAGGTTGAGATCCGGTGAGTACGGGGGCCATTCAATAGGGTAAATGCCACGGCTTCTCAACTCCTTAATCGTAGCACCCGCTCGGTGACCTGGAGCTCCATCTTGCATTAATGTAAGGCCTAGATACAGACGTAGCCAGCCGTGAATCAGAGGGATAGTATGAGCCATATAGGTCTCAGCTCCAATCTTCCCAAATTCCTTCTCCTAGAAGAGCGTAGGACCCTTCCCGAGAGCACCTAAGAAACAGCGCCCTAGAACAACCTCTAGAAGTATCATCCCACGTTTCCCCTCGTCGGTCTAAAGGATTCTGTCCTAGTCATTCCGTATCTAGCTTCTATGGGTAATGGCCAACTTAAGTCACTTTCGTCGATTTGTCTCTGAAATAATTGGCAATACTCACTTCTATTATACCCTCTTACTAAGAGAGCCCGGGTAAGTACAGCCGCGAGCATGGAATTTCTAGAAGCTCTATAACCTCCGTATATTGCATACGCCTATTCTGATGAGAAAAGCTTATAACTCAATAACCTCGTCAACTTGATTGTCGGATAGGATAAGTGGCCTACCCGACCTGTTTTTTGGAGCTAGAGGCCCATGGCAGGCATACCGTGCCTGCCGCTCTGTACAGCCTAGGTTCGTTCTCTGCTATTTGCTAGAACTCCCAATTTAGAGAGCGAAGGACAGAGCGGAGCCCTCATCGCGAGTAAGGTGATGCATTGTAGTTATAGAAAGAGTATGAATTTCCTACATACAAAATACTATAGGAAGAATTTCAACGCAGCCTACACGTACCCATGTCCCAATTCCTGCCTTACCCCCTGCCATCTCCGGATTCACCCACAAAACTTTTAACATCGCTAGTCCGACCCTTATTATACTATACCCATGTGAGGCATGGGGCTACTGATTTTAATCATGTACAAGCCTCCTTGAAGCGTGCCACACGGCTGGGTCGAGCCAATCTCCGTATAAGTTAAGTTACGTAAATTGCCAGTATTCTTGCTAAATGGCTCATAGGGGACGAAAGCCTGTACTGGTCCCAGGGCCAATCCTACCACCAAGTACCACTCTACGTACACCTGAGCTTTTGAAACTCCTTTTTTTTTTCACATGACAAAGGATGCCAAAACACAATACTTGGGAGATACCAGTGAGAACGAAACCGACGCCATGCTACAAAACGGCACCGAGATGGTATCAAATGACACCAACGGCGATGCACCTTCGCAAATCGCCGTCCCCTCCTGGATCAACGGCATCGAGGAGACCGGCCCCTCAACCTTCGACGTAATAAGCCCCTACACCAACACCACCTGCTGGACCAGCACCTCTGCCACCCCCTCCGACGCCCTGCGCGCCGTCGACGCCGCATCCGCCGCCTTCCCCGCCTGGTCAGCGACCAAGCCCACCGCGCGGCGCGACATCCTCCTCCGCGCAGCCGACCTCCTCGAGGAGCGCACCGAGGCCAATGCCGAAATTATGCGGACGGAGATGGGTGCCGACGTAGGCGCCTCGCAGTTCTTCGTCGTGCCCCTCGCTATCAAGATGCTCCGCGACGTCGCAGGTCGCATTACCTCCGTCTGCGGCAGCGTGCCCACTGTGGAAGAGGAGGGCCAGAGCGCCATCGTGTATAAGGAGCCCATGGGTGTCATCCTCGGGATAGTACCTTGGTTAGTTAGATCCCCGCTTCCTTTCCCGCGTTTGACGCCCCCCCAACACCGCTGCTCGCTATCAATCCCATGCTTACCCCCCCCGGTCTCCAGGAACGCGCCCTACGTCTTTGGCATCCGCTCCGCCGCCACCGCCCTCGCCGGCGGTAACACCACAGTGCTGAAATCGTCCGACCTCTCCCCGCGCTGCTACTGGGCCATTGGATGCGCATTCGCCGACGCGGGCCTCCCCGCCGGCTGCCTGAACATCGTCTCCTGCCGCCCTGCCGACGCGCCCGCTGTCGTCAACGCTATGATTGCGCATCCTGCTGTACGCAAGATCAACTTCACAGGCAGCACCTCGGTCGGGCGTCGCATCGCAAAGGAAGCGGGGATGCAGCTGAAGCCCTGCCTGATGGAGCTAGGCGGGAAGAACAGCGCCATTGTATGCGAAGATGCTAACCTCGACATCGCCGTGCAATCCGTCATCGCAGGGGCCTTCTTAAACGTAACAACCCCCCGCCTCCCGGTTAACTAATCAAGTGAGACTATTGCTAACCACCACCACCCACAGTCCGGCCAAATCTGCATGTCCACCGACCGCATCATCCTCCACTCCGCCATCGCCCCCGCGTTCCTCGCAGCCCTCAAATCAGCGCTCTCCTCCGCCCCGCCATCTGACGCCCCCACCCTCGTCTCCGCGGCCTCAAAAGCACGCGTCCAAGCCCTTGTCACGTCCTCCCTCGCCGCCGGCGCGCACCTCATCCACGGCTCCGTCGACGCCGCCGAATTGGACGAAAAGGCATCGAGTATACGCCTTGCACCTGTCGTCGTCGGCGGCGCAGGCGACGAGGATCCCCTCTGGCTAGATGAGTCGTTCGCGTCGCTCGCGGCGTGCAGAGTGGTGTCGTCTGACGAGGAGGCGGTGGAGGTCGCGAACAGTGGGGGCTATGGGCTTTCGGCTGCTGTATTCACTGAGGACTTGAGGAGGGGGTTTAGGCTTGCGAAGAAGCTGGAATCGGGGTGAGTATTGTCCTTGGGGAGATGTGAGTGAGTGGGTGGGTGTATACTGATGGGAATAGGGCTGTGCATATTAATAGCATGACGGTGCATGATGAGCCGGTGTTGCCGCATGGGGGCGTAAGGAATAGCGGATGGGGCAGGTTCAATGCGGCGCAGGGGCTGGAGGAGTTTCTGATTACCAAGACTGTGACGTGGAAGGATTAGGGGTGTGCATAACGCGCAGCGTTAGCTGTAGCTGGCTGTAGCTGGCCTGAGAATGTAGGAGTGATTGTGTATGGACAAGACTTTGAGGTGTAGGCATATGCATTATTTTATAATGCATCTAGGTGTGCAAAACATCGCGGATATAAAACAAACCCTGAATCTGTTCATCGTCTAAAGAAGATGTTTCAAAACTAGCCACAATTAGTTCACTGTCCTAGTAAAACAAAATTGATGTATACGTACAGAGACTCTTTGGCGTAGGTCATATTCTCCGCCTACAGATAATTGAGGTATCTGTTGATATTTCTGTGCCAAGAGTTGTCGAGTATTTTGAAGGACCTATAAAGTCGTCAGACGACATCTACTTGTAAAGGGCTAGTGTATGTTTTAAGGAAACAGGACTTACCTCAACATAGCTCTGATTCGGGTTCTCTTTCATGGTCTTGATGAATCCATACGACATGGCACCTGTCGACATTAGTGTTGCTTACTAACTAATACCAAGACAATCAAGACACGTTAACGAACCTGTTGCAGCCCCCGCAATGCTTGTATCGGCCGACGTCTGATTATCAGCGCATCCACTAAACATCCAAATATCCTTCCCCTCATTCTTCCAATCCTCGACAAAGGTTTCCTCACCCAGGCCATTCTCGTTGGTGGGACCTCCACCACCTTGATGGTGCAGAGAAGCAAAGAAAGATTGTGCTCCTCCAAAGAGGGCCTGGGCGTCTTGGATCTTTTTAGCAGAGAATCCTCCTTGCAGGAGATTAAAAGCCGATGCAGCAAGGCTAATACCCTGCTTTACGTTGTCGACGAGCTTAACCTGTCCTGCCGAATTCGGTCGATAGACAAAGGGAAGTTCGATCGCAGAACCACTATGGCAACAGTCAAAAAGAACTGTTAGACGAGCCCGGGGGTTCATCGGTGACACAATGGCTTTGTGGAGCTAGCATATTGTTAGTTCTTGCTTGTGTGGCATATCCGATCGTTCTTTTCCCACACATACTGTGTCACTGTCTATCTGTCCATGAGATTCAAAGTCTAGGGGACAAATAGTATCATCGAAACTGCAACATTGTCAGCAGGGAATGTGCGATATATCGCGTAGGTTCACTCACCCAGACTCTCGGTCTCCATCTGGGTCCTTAACCTGGGCTACCCAAAGGTTAGAAGTTCTCGCATAGATAGGATGAGGTTTCAGCCACCTCCATGTCCAGAGTAGGATAAGAAAACGGAGTCTCCTGGATTGTTGCCAGAGACGAGCCATCGAAAAGCCTACAGGAGGTAGTCAGAGCCTAGGTAATTATTGCGGCAGGAGGACATCTCACAGCCATCATATTGGCACCGGTAGGCTCCAACGGCTCCCTCTATTCTCAGGCGCATCAGTCAACATGACCATGTCGCTCTGTGAAGCCGAAAAGCCATGGTTCTGAACAAGGTATTCACGAAGGTTCATAGCATCGTTGATACATCCCTGCAGTTGATGCTTGGTACCAAAGTAGTTGATGCCAATCAGTAAGGCCTTCTTGCGAGGCATGGTGTTTGGGTTACCGAGGTGGGATATTCTAGTCACTCTAATGAGCACGGCTCCCTCTCAGAAATAAGAGGATAATATGATGGGGCAAGACACACTGGAAGAGGCCGAGTTGCGTTGTGCAAATCGCGTACTAATGAACTGCTGGTCGTGATATCGCAATACAAGAGTGCCGGTGGCGAACGCCGTTTGCTTCCGCGAACGCTCGCTCTTTGCTTACCCCGCCCCTATCCATAGGGTCGGTTCCGACGATTACGGAATTGATGGGAGTCGCGAGACGCAAGCTTGTGTATGGCAGAGTGGACGGGATACCCGATTTTCTTGAGTCTATGGTCGTATGTTAAAGACAATAATTCCTCATACACTAGAGAAGTAAGAGTATCGTTGCGTTGGTGCAATCCTCCTAGGGCATTTTAATTTATAGAATAAATAAGAGGTACCAGGCACAGTATGAGGTACCGAGCAAGGTTTATTATGGGGAATTGACGACCGCCTGGAGCCAATATAATATGATGGTCGTGTGGTGACCCTCAGTATTGCACATGTTCCGAATAACCACGAATAGTTACGCCCAACTGCGGGGTAATATAGGATATTGTAGATAGGATCATAATATCAACCTTCAACTATCAATGTGAACCCTATAGTTGGGCGGCCGATGGCCCAACGTATACCCCTTCATCAATATAGTCTGATGAGCTCTTAGTATTGACTCCAACGGCCTGGGTCGGTCATGCTGGGTATTGCTCGTGCGGTCGCTTTTGATCGGGAATTGTGTGATGATGGGGGTAGGCAGCTTTCGTTGACGATGAGCCAGCCACTATTCACATAACTACAAACAATGAGCATGCCTTATTTGTGTTCTATATTGCCAATAATGTCTATAAATTTAGAGTAGCCTTGCTATATACACCTGGCATCTCCCTCTGTAAGTCACGCCACGGCTTCATTCGGCTCGACAGGTATTAGACAGGTATCAACCTCTTCCACACTTGGCGTCAGTGTTGTCAATAGACCGACCGACCAGACCAAAGGGTCCCAGTCGGTCGGTCTGGCTAATTTTGAGATCTGGTCTAGTCGGTCTGCCAAGGTCTGCAGACCAAATAGACCAAATAGACGGTCTGCCAAGGGGTGGGAATTGGATGTGATTTGAATGAATAGATTGAAGTCTAATTGTAGCTACGATACATGCCGGCAGTATTCAATGACTTGAGACATTCACATGCCTCAATAATATCTTCTTTGAGTCTGTTTCGAGCGTCTGAGATTAGCAGTTTAGCACTGCTGAACATCCGCTCAAATTCTGCTGACATGGCTGGTATTGACAAGATATCTAGCGCCATTCTCGACAATGCTGGATACAGAGTAGAATGGTCATTCCACCATTGGATGATATTGCTAACACGAGCTTCTGGTTTGATGTAGCAGTAATCCTCATACTCGTCTGCCAGTAGCTGAGCCAGCAGTCTACAGTCTGATCGCTGGGATAAAAACTGCTCGAGTATATCCATGTCTGGGACTGTAACACGTGTCTCCCTGCTTGTCCCAGCCAATTTGGGATTGCGGTCTTTATAACTTGTAGTCCAAAGATGCTCGACAGCTTTATGAGCCTCAGATATCCAATCAGAGCGGTGCTCCCAAAGTTGCTCAAGAAAGCTCCATTTAAGCTGTGGATTTAGGACAACCGCTGCTACATATACTGGTGATGTTTCTGTGAGATTGTAATATCTGTCGAGTAATTTCCAGGCGTTATTGATGCAAACCGTAATGTGATCGTAACCTAAGTGTTCATAATCTTGTTTTGCAGCTTCAAGATGATGCAGCAGAATCTCCATCGAGGGTAGAATCTCCCATATTGATCCACGTTTTCCATCCTTGGCTTGGCTTTCCATGCGCAGTGTTAACTCTTTGAATGGTTTCAATAGAGCTAGAATACATGTAAGCTGATCCCAGTCATCCCGTGTCAGTTGATCTTGAGCTATGTCTTTGCCGAAACTTCTTGCTGCAAAGAGATCTATTGGATCCTTCAAACGCATAGCCCGCTCAATCATGCTGTATGTTGAATTCCAGCGTGTGGCATTATCCGCAACAACCATCAGCTGCTCAATTTCCAATCCTTCTTGCCGTTGGATTCAGAAAAACTCCTCTCGCCGTTGGGGCGTTCTGCGTATATGGTGAACAGTGTTGTGAAGTTTACCAACTGGACCTTTATGCCGCCAAAGTTCAAGTTTGTAAGGACACAGGGCACCCAGCTCACAGTAATAGCATATGAGAGTGCGAGTCGGAGGCTAAACGGATGCTATCCTATAGGTCTACTACGAAGGATACAAAAAAGATGATGGGGAACCCCGTCAGTCGATTTTCTCAAGTATCCGAAACCCATCCGACTCGGTTCCGACTCGGTTAGTGTTGGGAGTAGGGACGTGCGCTATGGAATACGGTGGCCTTTTGGCCGTGAAAATGATCGTTCTGGAATACCGACCGTCGAAGTCTCAGGACGGGTTTCGGGTTGGGTCGTGATGCACACTCTGCTTCACCAACAGAACCTGGTGTATACTGGGTTTCAGCCCCATATTCTGCTTCCTTACGAAGCCTACAAATACTGTACGTAGGCCCATTAGACAGTGTAGAAATTCAATCGATCTATTTATTCTATATACTGTATTACCTGAAGCCTCCTGTTCCGTTGTGCCGTTGTGAGAATTTTGGTTACCGGAGAATACCACCCGATTTTGGGTGTGGATCCCCGGTTCCCATAATCACTTCGAACAGGTTATGAGCCCGGTGACGCTCAGGAAAGCTTCGTATATTGAACCAGGAATTGATTCCGAAGTCTCACATCGATAAAGTGAGAAGCTGAGCTACCCGTCGGTAACTCTCAGTCAAAGGAAGACCACCAAGCAAGCCGCCGAATCGGCTGTGGCAGTCCAGCTTCACAAAGCAGGAAAAGTGATAACTGACGATGGATTCGGAAACCACCATTGTCGAGCGGTCCCGAATCCAAAAGCTATCGGGACCAAACTATCGAAACTGGGCTATCCAAATGAAGATGGAGCTCATCGATAGGAAAGCTTGGAGCCCCATCGACGCAACTTTCAAGCTCGAGATTAGTCTCGAGACCGCTGTGAAGGATGAGACCACGGAGGATCGTGATCGTCGCCTGGAACAGCTTGCTTTCCTCCGTGATAATAGGGCCAGGAAAGTCATTTTGGAAGGCTGTACGCCAGCAGTCATCGACCGAGTAGTCGACCTCAAGACTGCGAAAGAGATATGGGACCAGCTTCAGCGAATGTACTCCCGCCGCGGCGAGTTACAGCTTGAATTCGAAGATTGAGGCCTTCTCATCCTATATGCCGCCAGCAACGACTGACGTATACGACATCGCCAAAACACTCAACAAACTCCAGGAGGATATCTCGGCCATAAACCCTGAAAGCCGCCCCCCAGATGCGAATAAGAAGAGCCGCTTCCTGGCAATTATGAGAAACCGAGGGGGGGACTACCGCATTCCAGGCTCTCAAACAAGACTGGCGAAGGTTACGGACTTCGAGGACCTTGTCGAAATGTTTATGGACATCGAGGAAGAATCAACGCAATCGAAGCCCGTCATCGAGTCTGCCAACTACATCTCTATGGAGAATGAGAACTCGAGAGGGAAAAGGGGTGGACGGGCAAAGAGCGGCGCGAAGAACGGAAAGTCCACCCAGAAGGACACTCGTACGTGTTATCACTGCGGAAAAGCTGGGCACTTCAAAAGGGATTGCCATGCGAGGAAGAGAGGAGAGCCGAAGACGGCAGGGCCGTCGACGGGGCCTCTCGCAGCACCTGGGGGGGGAAAGGGGTTATCGCCTCAACCAGAGTCGGCAAACACTGCCGGGATTGAGGCCGCCCCAACCACTGCAACGTCCTGGATCGCAGCGATCGAGGATGGGGAGGAGGCTACTACCAATTGGATTGGTAGTGATCATGCCCACGGGATGTCCTGGATCATGGACTCGGGGTGCTCCCGTCACATGACATATGCTCGTGAAGCGTTCGTCAGTTACTTCGCCTTGGACAAGCCAATCCAAGTGAGACTCGCGAACGGTGCAGCGATCAAAGCTGTTGCTGAAGGCACTGTCAGCTTCAACATAGCTGTCCGGGGAGGGAGGCGTCGCATTCAGCTCCATGAGGTGCTCCATGTTCCGCAGCTTGCTGGAAACCTCGTCTCGTATCCCATCTCCAGGACAGGGGTATCATGACAAAGACAACCAGCAAAGGCAAGATGCTCCTCGAATTAAGGGGGCAGGTAATCGGAACCGCCATTCGAACGGGACGTTCTTACGTCCTCGATGGCACCTAGGAAGGCGCCGTCACTGCGCTCCGCACAGTGGCGACATCACCAAAGGATGCCATGCTCTGGCATCGTCGGTTCGGGCACTTGAGTACCAAGAGTCTGAGGCTGGTGCACACTGTGGTGTGCGGTTTACCAGGACCAGTTGGTGATCTTGTCGACCCGTGTCATGAATGCCTACTCAACAAGAGTACGCGGGTCATCAATCGAAAGGCAGCAGAGCACGCAGGAGGCCTCCTCGACAGGATCCACAGCGATATCTGGGGGCCATACAGGACACCGTCCATCAACGGTGGCAATATCTATTTTGCTACGTTTACGGACGACTACTCTCGGAAGACCTGGGTCTATCTTATGAAGACACCAGGTCAATTACGAGGGATCTTTACAGAATTCAAGACTCGAGTGGAGCTCGAGACTAGCCGAAAGATCAGGATCATTCGCTGCGATAATGGCAGCGAATATATCGGTATACAAGGGGATCTCGAAGCATCTCAGGGTATAAAGTTTGAGTAT